ATTTTTAAAATTTTGAACGAAATGCGCGAAAACATTAACATTAAGCGATAAATATCATGCTACCATGGTAATATTTTTATTGTTTTGCATTTATGTTTTGTTTTTTGTATTAGAGATCCCAACTAATTTTAAATGCAGTCCTTTTTTGAAACAATAGACTTTACTTTTGAGATGTCCCCACAAAAAAAATCCAGCGGTGTAAGGTCTGGAGACCTTGCTGGTCACTCAATAGTACCTCGTCTTCCAATCCGCCTATCGGCAAAAATTCTGTCCAGATATTGACGAACAATAGCACCGTAGTGTGGTGGGCCCCATCTTGCTGAAACCATAGCCTCTCATCGGTCAAGTTGGGGTTCAAAGGATTTGGAAATAAAAACATATAACTGGCATTAATTCATGCTGCAGAAAATGCAAGTATCTTGCTCCATTAATAGGGCCATCAAAGAAAAATGGTCCTACAATTCTATCACGTATTATTCCGGCCTACACATTAGTTTTCTGTGGGCGCTGAGTATGAACTTCCCTCATTCAATGGGGATTCTCTGCAGCCCAATAACGGCAGTTTTGGCGATTTACGCGCCCATTTTAATGTAAAACTAGCCTCTTCAGAGAAAAGTATCCAGTCTGAAGATAAATGGCTTTGATCAGTACGAGCCATCAACAAATCGCAAAATTCTAGTCGTCGATCTGGATCATCTTCTAGTAGCTCTTGGACAGCCTGCATTTTATATGGACGTTTTTTCTCATATTTAAGTTTTTTATAACCGTTTTGTAATTAAGATTACTATCATGGGCCAGTTGACGGGCTGGAGTGACTGGATTTTTTTAGAGCAAGCAACAAATTCAACTTCGTATCGTCATCGACAACAGCTTGCCTCCTTCTCGGTACTTTTCTGACATGACTCATTCGTCGATATTGTGCCTCTATTTTACTAATAGTACCTTGATTTATTGGTGGCAAGTCAGAATGTGACTCTCGAAACAGGCGAACAACTTCGTTTTGAGTTCGCATCCTATCACCATATCCAATCATCATCAAAATTTCAATCTTTACCGTTTCAGTTAAATAATTAGGCATTTTCACCAGTTTGCAATACTTCGTATCGAACGCTGAATACTACAACCGTTGTATGCTACAACTACAAACCAAATTTCTCTTTGCGGATATGTATAAACATTAGCAAAAAATAGCAAATACCAGTTGTGGCAAAAAATGGTCTGGAATTTTTAGTGAGGACATCTAAAAAATAAGGTTTACATTCCAAAACTAAACAACAAATATTTTTAGAAAATAAATTAAACTTTTAAATTACGTTTTGATTTTATGCACCCCCAAAACGCACTAGAAACTAAAATTCCTCGTTCCATCAGTTTTGCAGTGAAGAGTCACAAGCCACAGGGTTTCATTTGCAAAAAACATGTTGAGGGTGGTTTCAGCTACTCCCGAAGGGCTATATTTTTCAAATTGTTTGCAAAATATAGGTAAATATATATTAGAACGTTGACGTGTCTCGGAAAATTTTAGAACAATTATTCACCTTCCCGCTAGCGAATTTATTCCTGTTAAGGTCTCCACCCTGAATTTTGTTGTAGGGGCTCTGCAAAGAAACGGAAGGGACCTGCCAAGAGGATTTTGCACGAAGGACTTTTTTTTTTAAATGTGTTTAGGGCTCCGTCAAATATTTCGCTTTTCAAAAAGGTTCCGTCACCAAAAAAGTTTGAGAACCACTGCACTAGGTTAATGAATAGAAAATTAAAAACCCTTTAAAATGAGGTATCATATTCCCACTCGTTTTTTTTTTAATGAAAGGGTTAGTTACCTCACCGAGAGGGGTAACCAGAAGAAAGTTGTTACATCAAAAATTTTTAATTTAAAAAACCTGCTTCAAATCGTTAATTAGGTCGCTAGTGAATTTAACCGTCACTTTAGAACCTCACTGTATACATAGAAACTCTCTAACTAAGAAACTAAAAATGTTATTTATTATTTTTTAAATACCTAACCTATTTTTGTTTTTAATTAATTTTATTGAATACAGATCATGTATTTCTTAATTTTTGTACCTTTCCCTCCAAATATTGGGATTTTAACATAATTTTGGTGAAAATCTGACAATATTGCGCCATAATTTTTCCTGTATAACATTTGGCAACACTGTCTATTATTATAATTCAAGTCAATTTTCGTAATCTATCTACATCGTTATACAAACTCTTTCTATTCACAATATGGGGTTCCCTACCAACATCCACTCTTAAAATTCCTCCAATGCATTTTATTCCAAGTTTACATTTTTGTACGTTTCCCCATCAGTCCTAGGTCCCCAGTTCAACCAACAAAGCATCTCTTTATCTCGCTCTTCTAGTTGCCTTACTTCCTTTCCTAACAAAATTCTTATGCCTCGATTCGATTGCCTTGTACGCGCTACCTGCAACCTCGAGCGAAATATCAGCAGTTTCACCGAAGCAATCATCGACACGCCTCACAATTATTGTTGGTATCTTGCCAGCTCAGCGGAAGAAAGTTTAGAATCGAGAATCGAGCATCTATTCGACTGGCTTCGCGACAACGTTTCGTGCCTCGTGTGCCCGATATAAATTACAAGGTTATTAAAGGTCACAGCGAAAATGGATGTTAATATCTTCCTAGCGCGCATGCTGATGTTTGGTATTTGACCAATGACAAATAAGGTGATGGCTTAACCGATCTTTTACGTCTTTTCTGAATTATGAACATGTTTTGTTCTTAAATAATTAATGAAACGTACAAATAAATGATGTTCTTTGAGTTTATTTTTTTGTAATTTGACATTTGACAGTACGTTGCTGCGCAGATTATTAAAATAGGTTTGACGTAAATAAGAGGCATTCATATTATTTATGAAAGCCAAATGTGAATCATATTTATTTGGGCTATGTACCTAAACAGTGAATGATTATGATGATGATTAATGATATAGGTACAAGGTTTTACTATACCTATTCGATTGACAACACTCTACCCCCCCCCCCCCTAAGAACGCTTATTAATTGAAATTTTTATACAGAAACATGAAACCTTAATAAAATTCAAAATTTGCCATAAATCAAAAACGCCCTTAAACATTTTTATCAAATTTATTGACGAAAATGCTTTTTAAGAAAATAATATTTTGACATAAATTAAACTATTGGCAAATTGAACCAGTGGCACGCTATTAGGGTTAGAGACAACATTTAGTCCTCTAATTTTTACGCTACTGAATTTTTAACACCCTGTATATTGGCAACTAAGCCCTTTAAGGGTTCATGTTCCTATATCTAAATAACACCGAAAAAATTTAATGGAGTAATGGAGTGATTCTGTGTGGGTATTTGTTATAAAAATTTTTTGAAAAAAAACCTTCCCGGAAAAGTTACACCCCTCCGAAGATTTAAAAAAAAAAAGATTGTTTTTCTTTTTATAGAGGTTACCCACGGGATTACAAAAAACCTGCGACCTTTATAAACGAGAGTTACAGGATGTTTTTTGAATTTGGTCCATTTTTTAGTGCTCCATAACTTTTGAATCACTCAGTATATTTTTTTGATAATTGGCATAGATAATCTACACCTATAGGACAATTTATAGACACATTAAAAAATTTCAAAATTTAGGTCCGACTTAACAAAAGTAATAAAATTTGACCCACCCTAAAACAACACCCTATACATCAAATTTTTAAAAATTGAATTTCAAATTTGTAAAGAGCATACGAAACGGAATACATTCATAAATTTTTTATTTTTCCGCTTACAGTTTTACTACCAAAATTTTAACGTTAAAATGAGAGAACGAGAATTTTAGTCTATGCAAAATGTAGTTGAAGGGGTTTTAATGATTTTTTTTTTTAATTAATTTTGCTTAACTTTTTCATTGAAATTCCTAAAATAAACTTACTGAATTTCAAGTAACATTCATAAAAACTAATGAAAATTACAATTACAGATCCGTACTTAAGAAAATTTAAATGATTCATATTCATTTAATAATTAATCATTAATTATCTAATTTTTACATGATAAAATTGAAGAATTTCACATTAGGCATCTCCATTCAATAGGCCTAATCCACACGAACTGGAAAATTGTTAAAAACAATAAAAATTAATTATTGTTGTTATGACTTGGTACTAATTACAATTATGTATTGTTAATAAAATTGTTAATTGGTGTACGATCTTTTCGAATTGTATTAGCTTATTCCGTGTTGTCCTATGATTTAAAAAAAATGCTAATCGAGAATACTGCGACATGGTATTTATGGTTTTTGCAATTGTAGCACTTCATCTGCGAAAACCAAATACGAAATAAAATTTCCTGATCGAAGAACTCCTGATCGAAAAACTTTTACTCGTTACATTCCCTACAGTTAAAAACAATGAACACCAAGAAAAAAGATTTTTGAATAATGATATTGTCAATATGGAAGAGGCTTATCAACAGAAGTATCCGAAGAATTAGTCACGCTCTGAACATACCACATTCTACTGTTTGGAGGTAATTAAAGAAATATAGTCTTTATCTTTTTCATATTCAAGAAGTGCAAAGGTTGCATTACTACGACAGACATTGGGTAATTTTTAATGAAAGAATATTAGGCAAATGACTGTTTACCACTGTTTACTAGGCATAAGTGGTATACCACCTGACCTTGCACGGGTAAAGATTCGCCGCCCCACTTGTATAAAATAAAACTACAAAATGTATATTAAGAACATTTTTATTGCCCGATGATATTTTCCATGAAGTAATGACACACAACAATAATAAAAGTTAACAAAAAAACAAAACAAACGATCGTACAAAACAAGTATATAGAGTGAATACAAACAATTGTCAAATTATTAAATGTTAGATAATTTCCATTTTTTTTTTAATTTATAATTTTTTATTGTAAATATAGGGAGGTAATTATATTACGTAACCAAATTGAACTTCTTTTATCACTTAATAACATTTATCCTATGAATTCGGTAGGTATATGGGATTTTTATAAAAATTATAAAATAAATTGATTCGCAAAAAAAATCTTTAATATTTAATCTTTTTTCGGCATATATGTGGGTTTTCAAAACTTTCAAAACAAAAAAATGTTATTTAAATTGAAACATGTTATTTCTATTCTCCCTCGAAACATACTAATCTGAAATTAAAATATACAGGATGGCTAAAAAACATCGAAAAACAATAAAAGAACCAAATTTTCCGTATTATTAAACGCACAAAAAGCTAACCACGACATTAAATATGTAAGATTTTTTTTTAATGAACGAAATAATTTATTACATGTCTCGCAGTATTTATAAACTGATTTTTTTTTATTAATACTATACAGGGTTGCCCATTATAATATGTGAGAGTCCAATATTTCGGTTGTTTTCTAAAATACCAAATATAAAAGTTTTACGATTCATAGAGTGGCTTATTGTAAAAATATTTCCCAATATACAGGGTGCCCAAAAAAGGAAGGCAGCATAAAAATTATTTTTTTCAAATGAAACACTTTATATTTTATTCTATATTTGAATACTACTAACGAAACATCATATGTCTAAATTCAATTGTTTTTGAGTTATTGACATTCAAAAATTGACTTTTTCGTACTTTGACAAGCTGTAGCATCCAAACGCTTGAAGTTAGGAATAAAACGGTTTACATTCTAGTTTTTCGTATCCTATCTAATATGTGAACTTTGAATCTAAAAAAATCTAACTTAAACCGGAAGTGGGTTATTTTATTGCATATTTGTATAAAATATAAAAACTAAGTTACGAACACGTAAACCGTTTTGCCCTAATTTTAACAGCTTGTCGAAATGTGAAAAAGTCAATTTTTGAATGTCAAAAGTTTGAAAACAATTGAATTTAGACGAAAATCATTAGATTTTTTAGTAGAATTCAAAAATAAAATAAAATACAGGAAATTCCATTTGAAAAACATATATATTATGTTGCCTTGTTTTTTGAGGGCACCCTATATATTGGAAAATATTCTTACTACTAGGCGTCCCATAGTGGCGCGAAAATTAATGTACATTTCAAGGGTAATGGAAAATTTTTGACCGTATCCAAGTACAGAGTCTTTTAGGATCTTTGAAGACGAACATTTTCCCATAAAAAAAGTTTGGTAAAATTTCAATCTCGCGTACCGTAGGATCACTTTCGTGCGGAAAATCTACATTTTTGCATAAAATCCAATTTTTGGATCAGAATTCCGGAAAAATGAAGACGTAAAACGAAAATTGAAAATGATCGATAGGCAATTTCAAGACGAACATTTTAAAAAAAATTCACCTCAGACACTCCAACCCCATAAGGTGTAGAGTCATAAAACTTTTGTATGGACATTTTCTCGTATTTTCAAAAACAACTGAGATATTAGACTTCCACACACTAAAGGACCACCTTGTAGAGTTAGGTACATTTATACGGATTGAGATAAATATTTCTTATTGAAAATTGGCCTAGAATACATTGCCCCATACATTGCTTAATTTATTAAATCCCTTATTAAATTTGGAAAAATCTAATTTGACACCTAATTATCAAGGCAATGTAACCATATTTTGTAAAGTATAAAATTAGTAATACGTAGAGGGTAGGTACCTATGTTAGATCTAAAAGAGAGAATTTTCTACAGATTTTGACTTTTTGACAACTCTTTTATGAAAGATTCCTCTTGTTCAACATTGCCAAAAAGTCATAAATATCTCCTTATTTAGTCTATCAAGTGTCAAATTAGATTGAACTAATTTAGATACTCAACTCAGAGAACAGCCCCTCTACATTTTTATTTAAACACTATTCCTTTATCAGCGCCATCTGTAACAAAGGAACCACCGCTATAGTTGAGAGATCGGCTAATACAGCTTCGACGTTTTGCAGCGTAGTGACTTTTAGTAAGTTGTCTTTTCGAAAAATAATTATAATAACCGCCAAAAGGGGTATTATTTCCAGTGAATCGTACGCTAGAATCAAGTCCCATAGGGATAAAAGTTGTTCTGGTGGTAGGTGACCGCTAAAAGCGCGCATGATCCATTTTATCACCAGTCTTAACCTAAAAAAAAGTTTACATTATTTAAATCTATATTAAAAATTAGCATGACTAAATATTATATTTTGTTCAAGGAAGTGGGCTTCTATTAACCCTCCGATTCCCAAGGGTGGATAAAAATTTCAAAGTGTCACTCAACCCCTCTTTCCATTTAAGATGTTATGGGTGTGTAGTAAGTAAGGGGTTTGGAAATAAATCTAAAGTTTCCCTCTTGACAAATAAAGTGACGTGTTAAAGCGATATTTTGAATTATATTAAAAACCCTAAAATTGGCTCACCCTGTAAAATATAGTAATAGTAAATAGATAATTAAATTTTTTTTGTCAGCTACAAGAACATCTATTAAAATTTATGAGCCTGATAAACTTTAACCGAGCTTGAGGATATAATATGTCTAAATGATATTAACTTCAAATTACTCAGTCTAAACATCTATCCGGTTAGTAAAACGTTTTTGCAACCGGGTGTAGTTTGATCTTTCTACAAATATACTGCAAAAGATAAAACCTCGATGGTTGCAGCGATTTTTAATGAAGAAACTTACGGTGCTATTCTACACTTCCTGAAATGGTTCCAAAGAAGTGGGTCGAAACATTGGAGTAATTTTTCAAATTGAAGACACAGAGACACTATTCCTTGGGAACTGGCGCACACTCTGTGTAGACGGTGCCAGTATCTTAGATAGAATGCTCTGAAAGCGTAGTACAATTCTACAGGATCGTCGTAAATATAGCAAAAGGGTGCAGCTGAAAAAAAAATCACAGAATTCATGAGTTTTTGACAAAGGTATCTAAATAATCCAATAACCAGGAGTACAACGGGTGTTAAACATTAAATAAAAATAACACAAAAATAGAGAAAATTAGACAAAATTAGAGAAAATTAGACAAAATTAGACAATATTAGACAATATTAGACAATATTAGACAATATTAGACAATATTAGACAATATTAGACAATATTAGACAATATTAGACAATATTAGACAATATTAGACAATATTAGACAATATTAGACAATATTAGACAATATTAGACAATATTAGACAATATTAGACAATATTAGACAATATTAGACAATATTAGACAATATTAGACAATATTAGACAATATTAGACAATATTAGACAATATTAGACAATATTAGACAATATTAGACAATATTAGACAATATTAGACAAAATTGACAAAATTAGACAAAAAAATCATATATAATATGACGAAAATAATCATAGAAATAGCATTCCTTTTATTATAAACATTGAATTTTTAAATTTTGGAAGAAAATAATATAACTTACCATACATTGAAAATCCATGAAATGGTATAACTCCACTTGGCGGAAACACTATGGTGCTGCCACCATTTGTAGCCCCGTCTAAGTGAATTGGCGGTTGTTTACCTTTTATCAAAACTTGCATGAATGCTGGTTGGCTTGGAAGATTTTTGAGGATTTCGGAATCACGGGAAAAGCACAGCATTACCTAAAATTTTTTTAGGTGTTTTATTTTATAGAAAAACTTTTCACGAAAGGTTAAATGGTTTCTTTTTTAAATACGGTGATGTTTTGTTGTACACACCTGATACAGAACATCTTCGAATACAAAATACTGATCATCATTCGATGCAGTTAGAGTTATATCCTTAATAATTAATTTATCTATCATCAGATCATATTGAAGAACGTGTTCTTTTAAAGTTTCGAAATACTTGTATTCCTACAACAAGAAACAAAACATTTATATGTATAAATGGATAATTTTCCGACTTTTCCGACGAATAATCCAGAAAACTAAGCAAATACGAAATATTTTTCCTAGTATCTTTTTATGTTTTAACGAAATATCAAAAATTTTGTGAAATCCTATCCCGTTAAAATACAAGTTTCTTATGAATCAGACATTATATCTTTGCACTGTACCTACATAAACTTCTATAATCAAGTAAAATACGCATTTTATTAATGAAAAATAATTAAGAATTAAAAATCAGGTGAAAAATAGAGCCATAATATAGTCAAAATATTTTCACTTACATACTGTTTAACTTCAGAGCCTAGCAATAAACTCCAAATCCTTGCTCTTAAACATCTAGGACATCCTTTTTTTAAAAATTCTTGAGCCAGAGGAGCGTAATTCCTCGACAAAACTTTTTCGCCTAAATTAATTCTTTCTTCTTCAAAAATTGTAAAAGCTTGCGGCATAGTAAGAGCATTACTAGCAGTTAAAATCTGGTCGCCTCGCGATAACTCGCTGTAAAAACTTCTCTAAAATTAATAAAAACTCTTTTAAATTGTCCTTATTTCGATTTGTGTTAATTTCTTACCAATTCCGCTAAATTTTTTACTTTTAAAGGAAGCTGAGTAAATTGCCATTCACCGCCACTAAAAAAAAACGAATTTTACTAAAAGAAACACCATAAACTTTCTGGACTCGGGCAGTACGAAAATATTAATTAAAAGTCCACTTTTTGATAGGATATAAAACAAACTTGCCAAATCTGAGCAGGAAAGACCGAGACTCTGCAGTCTTATAAAGACCGACTACAAGCGACAGGCAGCCAGCCAGCGGCAAATCCTACTGTGCTAAAACTGATGTCTGTCGCGCGCCTTTTCAAATGAGTTTCGTATAATTATTACATGTGTTCAGTTGCTTGCTGACAGTCGTTTGAAATCGGTCTCAGTCTCGTCTTCCCTAATGGTACCTTTAGACACCTAAATCTAAATTCCTAAAATATTAGAGCTGTGGTTCTCAAACTTTTTTGGTGATGGAACCTTTTTAAAAAGCGAATTATTTGACGGAGCCCTAAATACATTCCTACTACTGTTTTTTTTTATTATTTTCTTCGCGGAGCCCCCACAAAAAAGTGCTCTAAGCAACATCTTTTTTATATCCTCCTTTCTCTTGGTGACTTCTAAAAAAAAAGGTCCTCACGCCAAGTCATTCCCTTTTGTAACGATAGTACTGCTTTTTTTTATTATGGCTATTATTTTCTTCGCGGACCCCCCACAAAGGCTTTGCGGAGCCCCAGGGCTCCGCGGACCACACTTTGAGTAACGCTCAGGAAGGACGAATATCTTAGTCTCTATTCAACTTAAACGCAAGTAACGTGTAAACACAATTGCTCCTTGATCACAGCACATTGAGCTAGATCAGGGATTTCCAAACTATTTTGGGCAAGAGACCCCTTTTCCTAAATAAACTAATACCTAAATAAATTACTTTAAAAATTCTAGTTTTTTCCTATTGATACAAAATACCAATTTAAAAACTTTGCGGTTAGTTGAGTGACTAAACTACAAATTACGTAAAAAGTCGGTAATTATTGTCAACATTTTCTTGTAGTATGTTTACTCATTCTGCTAATGCTGCATCAATAAGCTGTGCGACATTTCCTGCATTGTGTCTACGAGCTCTAACCCTTCTTTTGAGCTGATCCCACAAGTGTTCAATAGAATTTAGATCTGCTGAACATGCAGACCAGTCTAAAACTGTGACACCTTCCGTTTCAAGACATTCTTCAGCCACTCTGCGGGTATGAGGAGGTGCATTATCGGCATAAAGATAAAATTATCCCCCAATAGCAGCTTTCCAAAGCCTAACTATTGGTTCTAGCACTAAATCAACATACCTCGGACCCGTTAAAGTTTGTTGAAATGGTACCAATGGAGTTTTTGCTACCAGCATAATATCTCCCCATTACAGTTCCTCCTTGTTATCTTGAGGCAGATCTCGCAACGTGGAGTCTCGCTCATCGTCCTGGAGCTCTGAGAACCTGAATTGGATGGTCATCTGATCTTAGGCCAATTCTAGTCTCAACCGAAAAAAGAACAGTTTTGCCAATGCTCAATTATCCAGTTTTGGTGTTGAAGGCACCAATTTAGCTGGTCCATTTTGCCTAGTTAACGGAGGGATCCGTAACTCTTTCCTACTCTACAACCCTCGAGCGCGAAGTCTTTTTCTTAGGGTTTCAACTGAAACGTTTGCACCTGTAGCTTACAGAAGTTGTCTTTGTAGCTATGGATGAGAAACACTGGAAGCAATTTGACACACAAAGCGGTCCTGTTGTTCAGTTGTGACTCTTTGACGACTTTGTCTGGGCCTGTTCTTGAGAGTTTCTAGTTCCAAGTACCTTTCATATTATGTTTTCGATACGACATCCTGGCTATTGCCTACTACCTCTGCTACGTCTCATTGGGACATTCCTTGTTCAATGAGAGCAATAATTCTTCTCATCTGCAGTCTGCAAATTAGTTAGTTCAAGGCAAAGTGAAAAAAAAAGTCCTCGACTCCAAGAGGTCGATATCGACGACTTTGGGAATCCCTGAGCTAGATGGTAGGGATACATTCAAAACCGGACCACTGGGCTGGCTAATAGCAGTCGGGCTTGTACGTATCATCACAGTATCATGCTGTTTTTACGCGTTACTTGCGTTTAAGTTGAATAGAGATTAGTCGCATACTATACCACTGACGAAATGGAAACGGGGACTTTGGGGTACAATATCCGTAAGGTTTCTCCTTCATTTACACAGATTGATTAGGCAGTTTAGGTCAAAAGAGCTCTTACCTGCTATTTTTATCATCCGTAGGCCCCTTTAAATTCATTAACACATCTAAAAAATCTTTCGGGGCATACACGGGTCTATATTTATGAATGTCTACCTAAAATATAGAAAAAAGTTAATGCATATACTCGCATAAACTCGCGTAAATTTTGTTCCTTTGACTCGAGTACCTACTTGACACACCTATTTGCTAGTGTCCATGATCATTGTGTATATTTTCGTTGATTTTTGTTTTATTTGGAAAATAAAATATGCTTTCCAACGAATATATTAGTGTGTCATATAAAAAATTTAGCAAACACCCGATTTCTTTACGACTAGAAATGAGAAGTGGTGCCGGTAAGCCGCGGACAGACCGATATTCCAAGGCACATGTTGGTGTCGGTGTGTACGGCGCAGCGAACAGAGCCCAACCGGTTCCAAGCAAGCTTGGCGTTGGTGGTTCGGTTGCGTTCGCTCTAATTATCCTTCCTCCATGGTTCGCTCCTTGAGCGGTACATCAAAGGAATGTTTGATTTAGTCTGGACGGGATCTGTCGCTCGCTTGGTAGATATTTTGCTTGTGTTGTTTTTCTCGAGTTGCTTTTGGCATTTTGATGACATTGAATATGGAGTGGACTGAAGATTTATGTTTAAAATGAATTGAATGCTATAGGCAAAATCCCACATTATGGGACCCAACTAATAAACGTTATAAACTCTCAAAGTTTAAAATAGATTTATGGAAAAATATCGCACAAAAATTCAAATGTGAAGAAGATAAAGTTAAAAGGAAAATAGAAAGCTTATTAACATCGTATCGTCGTGAAATGCGACGTAAAGGAGCAGTGCGTTCCGGAATGGGTACCCAGGATGTGTATCACTCAAAACGGTTTGTGTTTAAAGCCATTTTGCACCAAACGGATCAAACGACCGAATCTTCCCAAACGCTCTCGTACTCAAATCAAATTTTTGGTGTGGATGTGCACATTCCAATCGCTTCCAACGCCAAATCCCAACAGGCACGATGCTTGGGTTGGAATGCTCGGCGTTGGAATCTGGTCTGTACGCGGCGTTACACAATTCAAAGTGCAGGGCACATTATAATAGCATTGCTAAAAATACTCTAAAAACAGTAGATTATAAGTATGCATATATTTTATTTCTTACTTCATAATTACTTAGTTCTGTCCATTTTGCAAGCAATTCTTCTCTCTCATTCGTAGTTCTTGGTTTTGCCAACGATATTCCCAATTCGTTGCACATAGAATTCAATGATTTATGAATTCGTTTATCCCAGTGTATTTGACATTTTCTGAAAAATAATTTACTAATGATTAATAAATGAATACTAAGTCTTAATTTAAAAAAAAACAAGATGCGATCCAGTGACGGCTCGTTGCCTAGCCTACGGGATCTCATTGTCACTAGAATTTGAAATAGAGCTTGTAAGCCACATACTTTGATTTTCTTTTACTATACGGAGAATGGTCGCAATGCGCAGCTTTCTGAGTGCCTTTTAAAAGGAGATAGAAAACTCCGCCATTTTGATCCCTTATTACGTGTTGCCTACATCTTGGCGAAATATTTTTAATAGGTGCGTTTTAATCATCCGATTCTGCTTCGGAATTGTCGGTTTTCTTGTTTTAATCTGACAAGTTAAAACGACTAAACCGACAATTCCGGAATCAGAAGCGGATGATTAAAACGCACCTGATGTTTTGCTTGCTGCTGTCAGTATCCGTGAATATTATTTTTGGTGTCACAGTTTATTCCTAAAGAATCAGTTAGCTCACTCGGACCAGTTGAAAGTTCCAAAATAACATCCACTCCAGAGATACAAATTCAGGATACGCAGAAGACTGCTGTTTTATTATAGGCGGTTGTCATGTATTGTATTATCCGAGTTGCGCAGTATATAAACTGGAACATTGAGATCAAAAGTGCCGACGTAGAGTGAGCGATCTGATTCTTTAGCTATAAACTGTGGCATAGGAATCAAAATGGCCGCGCCCTATGTTGGTCGTGTCGGACCTCTCTCTTGCACCGTATAGTAATCAAAAGGTCTTTTCCTTTGCATCGACAGTGTAGCACTGAGCTACGTCACTTCTGAAAATATTGTTCCGTCCATACAATTTGTATAAATGGAACGATATTTTCAGAAGTGGTGTAGCTCAGTGCTACACTTTCGATGCAAAAGAAAAGACCTAATGTATGTGTTGTAAGCTGACTGCTGATGCTGATGTTGATATTGCTATGTATATAAAGCAAAGAAGTAGAGAGGGTAGAACGATAAGGTACCGTCTGCGCATCCATCACGAGTGTAGAAATTATGCGTGATTCAGTCTTCCACTCTTACACACGTAAATGACAAGGAGAGGTTGCCCTAAAGCACTGTAAACAAATTCCAGGATCGACTTTATTCAGCGATTATGTTCATGTTCAGCTCTGTTTTTTGTTTGTGTTTTGGCTGTTGTAAGCTTTTTTGGCGTCAATTCTTTGTTATCTTGCTTATATTTATGATTTTTTATGCTTTTATTCCGATTTAGTATTAAATTATACTTGTTAATTATTTTTCGATGCACTATTTTATAATTGTTGCACAAAATGTTGTTAAACCGTCCCTGAATTTTGTTTACAAAATGTGCAAAACGAAATTGTGCATAGTGTCCAGACTTTTTCATTGACAGTTATCATTCTACCCCTCTCCCTTCATTGATATAAAGCTAGCATGACAAAGTCATGAGTTCGCAGAGCGATTTGTTATATTTTTTGGCCTAATTTTGTGCTATTTTTTTTAGCTATCTTGATACTTAAGCTACAATGGCCACTTGCTACTGTATCTTAAGTATCAATCTAACATAACCACTGTTTCTTACAAACAGCAAAAAATAAATTGATATATATTTGTAAAGCACAAAAATTAGCAAAAAAAATATGCATTAATTTATCTCATAGAAACAGAAATAGAGCCTGGCCATTCAAACTTAAGTATCAATCTAGCATGGTCAATGTTTCTCGGTAACGATAGGAGCAAAAAAAAATAAAAATTTGTTAAAAAATAGCAAAAAATAAGCCAGCAAATATATCAGTTTGATTTGGATACTTGCATTCAAGTTTTAAACTATAAAGCTTTGGATTGGGTTAAAATTGGCTGAAAATAGGTCATTAAAATGTACAAGAGAGCAAAGATGCTTTTGCTATCGACCAGTTTGTTAATGAACCTTTTTGCAAAAGCTTTTGTGGTAATCCATAAGAATTAATTTTGTTTGAAAAATTGTAATAAGCAGGAATAGAAAAAATTATTATTTTTTTTTTAAAATTATCAATCCTATAATTATGAAATTTAGAGATACTGAAAATTATTAAACAAAACAGAAAATTAGAGGGAACTCACCTAAAGAATGAATCATAAGTATTAGTTTCTTTCTTCTTAGACTTAATATATCTATAGATACTGTTCTTCAGATCAGACTCTAAACCATTGTCTTGCATGGCTTTTAGCAAAGAATTTTTAAAGTCGTCGGATTTTACACTAGGTGTTATCACCAATTTCTGAAAAACATGGCCGAAAAAAAAAGTCAATTTGACAATTTCACTTTTAATTTATTTTATAATTTGGAAATATAAAAATCCAGTGGGCCATTTTTTCTAATCTAAAGACTTTCCTTGTCAAATGCTTCAAAATATTATACAGGGTGTAACGAAAAGATGTACAGTAAATTAAAACACAATTTCTGGATCGAAAATAAGTCGATTTAAGCTAGATTAGATTAGATTTAATTAGGATTTTGGGCCATGTGGCCTCCTCCACCTCGACCTTTTCAGATCTTTTGTGGATATATCCTTTAATCGTCGTTTAGAGTATTTTGTCCAATTCGGCCTCTTATACAATACAATACGCAGTAGCACAATACGACGTGTTCTGCGTTTCCTCCTCTTCCTGACAGAATCAGAACAAGGTCTCTTCTGTCAGACCGATATTATACATATGTTTGTTAAGCCTACAATGCCCTTTTAATAGATCTATTATTACGCTAGTATTTTTCCTATTAGTAGATGCTTGGTGAGTTTAAGCCATGGTTATTTTAAGAACTATTTGGCCTGTCTCTGTCCTGGTGAATTTTTCCACCATTCCGAGTTTTTAAACATCTACTGCTTTGTGCGCATGTTCTGGTAGTTGTCTTTGTGAAACCACACAGAAGGGTTCTGGGCCAATAAGAGCTTTTGAGGCTCCTTCTCGGGCTAGCAAATCAGCCTCTTCGTTGCCCTTATGTCTTCTGTGGCCTCTGGTACCCAGGCTAAGATCAGTCTGTGTTTTATGCTAACTTAATTACCTATATAAAAAAATGGAGAGAAAAAAGTTACAGGGTATTAAAGTAGAAATTTTAAAAGTGATTTGGTGCTCTTATTCTAAAACGGTTTGACCTTCCTACTTGTTTTAAACAACGAAATTCAGTTAAAAACAAGACGGCACTGACCTGGAGCCATTTAAATTTAATCAATCGTTAACGCACAGTTAGTTAAGTTAGGTTAGTCAAGTTTTTAAAATTTTCTGTACAACTTTTTTCGAAGCAATCCGCGATGGCTTCAGGTCGTACAGGTTAGGTAAATTATTTAAATTTTTATTTATTTTATCTAAAAAAAATTGTGTAGCACCCTATGATGGTTACAGATGCTCTAAATACACTTTTAGTCGGTAACGCGTTTTTTTTGTAACAAATAGTATATCTGTAGACTGATATGGCTCTATAGGCATTCTGTTGTTTTTGTAGAAAATAAATACCTACATACATTTCAGTATGGAAGAAATATTTTATGTGTATTTCCATTTTTTAAGTGCTACCTACTTATTATTACTTATTTGTATGATACAACCTGTATATCTTCGAACAGTCTAGCATGGTAAGGAGATTTTTTTAAATCTTCACAAATTTTGACACCCATGAGATGAATACTTTTTTCTTTTGTTTCTTCCATTGCATAAAAAATGTATAGAAAATCAGAAATAAAATAAAAATCACTGTTAAATTTGGTCAAAGTGAAATTATTTACTAGTTTCCAAGCAACAAAATTCTTAAATTCTCTACAGAAAATAAAATTGTAATTTAAAGGTATATGCTGCCATCTTTTCTACGATATCCTAACTTATACAAATCCGTACGTTCACGATTATAGAAATCTGTAAAACTGATGTGACCAATGCTATATTTTGTTATATCGATTGCGCGTCCATATATAACTCAGCCCAAGCCAACAATTGCCGCGTTTGAGAATCCACATCGGATGCATCTGAGATGTTGCGAATTTTTTATCACGTGATAGAGAATTAGATTTGAATGTAGATGTAATAAACAAACGCTCTAGACTTTATTTGGTCACGTGATAAAATGTCAATGACATGTTAGAAGTTTATACTTATTAAATTTGACTTTTCAAACTACAAATCAACCTAAATTTGAAATATAAACAAAAATTAAACAAACTAATCACTTTTATATTCATGCTAGCATAAACAAAGGATAAATTGACAAACAAGGCTTCACAGAACACTTACTTTCTGGCATGGAACGAACATCTCATTCACATCTCATTCCAAATCGAGATGTAAAAAATGTAATCTGAGCAGGTACATCTGGGATAAACAAACGCAGATGTAGATGTAGTAGATGTGTCCGATGTGGATAAAAAAACGCTCGAGATGTAAAAAATGCATCCGATGTGGATTCTCAAACGCGGCAATTAATTCTATAAAGAAAATGTTAAAATTTTAAATAGGTCACAATTAACATATCAGTTGATTTGTACCGAAAAAATCTACTCTATAAGCAGAAATATGTTAAAATTATAACAGATGTGTTAATTTTATGCGTTTAAATCGTGGAAATTAACGGGTATTAATTAGTAGGGTTTAAAACTTAACATATAAGAAATTATGAAATTTGATTATTTAATTCAACCTACAATGCAAGAAAATCATGAAATTGAATCATTTTGCATGTACATAAGTTTTTTTAAATAGTTAAAATTACCCCTACTCTATTTTAAATTAAATTTTATAAAATTTTTGTATAATTCATTTGTGGTAAAAAGCCACTATTAAAAGTTACTAGCTTTGTTTATATTAAAAATTTTGGCCTACCATAATTTATATCAAATAACACCATAAATTTTTTGTGATTTATTTGTTTATAACTTACAAAGACAAACCATAAACATTGCGTTTATAAGCCGAACTAGTTTTTTGTCATCTGATTTACATATGGATGAGCAATCTATATAATTATATACCTTGGATTGAATAGTTTATTTGACAAATGACACGACAATCAAATGTCACATCATATAAGTATAATAAGTAACATTTTTCATGAGTAAATAAACCGAATTACTTATATGAGATAAAAATAAAAATAACAAATAATTTTTACTTTTCTATATGAATAATCCAGCTATAGACTTAGGTTAAAAATATATACTAAAAATGGGGTGCTGTTATAGTTTTTTTTGCAAAGATGACACTACCTCGCAGGTGAGTTGTTTATTGCAAAAATATGTACCTTACATTTATATTTTCCGAAAATTATTTTAGCCAGGAGAAGCTAACGAAAGAACACATCTACTAATAGACCCAGTTTCAAGTAACACAAATATCCAGAGGGTTAACAGGTAAATATTGGATATATTGTTTTCAAAGGTTGCTGAACTTTATATTTTTTTAGCGAAGATATATTAAGCCGCAATCTAAATAATTTACCTAAAAAGACTGATGAGCAATCCGCATTGAACAGAATACTACAAGAAACTGCTACGTAAGAAAATATTAATCTTTTATATACTAAATAAGTTTAAAAATAAAATATAACTTGTTTTTATTTTTAGGAATGTTATAGATGTTGCTGCCTTAGATTCCCACAATTTACAACAACACGAATATTTAGAAAGGATGAAGATTTACAACGTTAGGGTGCAACAAGTTTTGGCTAGTAATAAACATAAGTACATCAAAAAATTAAACTTTATTTTGCAAGATATACCTAATCCTGATAAGGTGCTTAGTTCGGAATCAATAAGTGTCGATGATCTAAATATGGTAAGCATTTGAAAACTATTAACTCATTTAGGTATTTATTAAAAATGAATTCAATAACCAAAAATATTTGGATCATAAGTAATATAAAATATAATAAAGCATGTATTAGTTTTTGAATTGTTTTCATTGTAGCAATAATGGAATATTTTTTCAATGATTAGAGTATTTGCTAGTCTTTGTTGTTAATATTTGGAGTATCTAATTACATTTGACTGATTATAAACAACCTTTGAAACACGAATTAAATTATTAGATTAACTGATTGGATAATTACTAGCTATAAATATCACTGAATAAAATGCAAATAATAGTTATTCATATTATTTTGGGTAAATATCAAGTTTTATGTATTTTTTTGTGAATAAGAATTTCTTGAAAGTTTATGCAAATGAATATTAACTAGAATGAAGATATATAGGGTGTCCCAAATTGTTTTACCCAGGTTAAACCATACAAAATAATTAAACCAAAAATGGTGTACAGTTTTTTTGGCTAAACATAAAAACTTGCTGTCGCAAACGCCACTGATAATAATAATATTTATTAATGCCAGGAACAATATTATACAGAAAAAATACATATAAAATTGTATGGTATAATTCAGAAGCCAGGATAATCTGTACTAGTTTGATGACATACAAAGTGACTTAAAAATGAATATAGTGGTGCATTTGCTAAGAAATATGGAGAAACCCAGCAAATCCCATGTTACCATTGAAGACTAGTATGTTGATTTCACAAAGTATTTACAAATCACTTCCTTTACATCATCTAAGCCGTAAGGCTCAATAGAAATCAAAATTTGTTTGGCCCTATTTTTGAAAGCTGATAAGCTTAGTATTTTTTAAAAGATCAAGAAGCATAAAAAATTGCAAACATTTGTAACAGCATCCCTTCTTCAGTAGGGTGGTTCTGTGTGTCGGTAGACAAAAATTATTTCTAAACCTTGTGTTGTGAAGATCATCTGCTATATATTCCTTGAATATACTTTTACTTTTATACACACTCATATGCCTAACTAGCATATACTGCCAACAAATTTAGATTTTTAAAGTAACCTTTGCATGATTCTATAAGCTTTAGATTAGCCAATATTTGAATTGCTCTTTTATTTGTATTACAAAGACTTCTTGACAGTATGAACCTCCCCAAAAAATAATTTCATAGCACATTGAGGAATAGAATAGACTATAATACACTGATATAAGATAAGAATGATCTATGACTTTTTTTAACTTGTTTCAATGCAAATCAAGCTCTGCTGAGCCTTCCACAAAGTGAATGTAGATGTTCCACCCAAGTTAGATGCTCATCAATTATTACGCCGAGAAATTTTGTCGATTTAGAATATTCTAGCAATGTTTTACATAAGTTAATATCCTCTGGATATTCATTTTTATTATGACTGTGCTTGAAAAGTATGCAATTAGTTTTAGATAAATTTAATAATAGTGAGTTTTCACTAAACTATTTTGAAATTCTCTCTACAGCATTTGAGGTATCTTTTACAAGTACTTTGTAATGGTTTCTAGCAAGTAAGACATTTGTGTCATCGGCATAATAGTGAGAGTTACAGAATCAGTTTCAGTAAATCATTTAGATATAATACAAATAAAATAGGACCTAAGACACTTCCCTGTGGAACACCCAGCATAGTATTTTTTTGATTCAGATGCATTGTCATATTTAAAACAAACCTGTTGTGTCCTATTTGAAACATAAGATTGAAACCAGTTATATGCTTTACCTCTCATCCCCATTTTGTATAATTTATTAAGAACTATATGGTGATTCACACAATCAAAAGCCTTTGTTAAATCTAAGAAAATTTCATGAACAACATTTCCCTAATCTAAAAAGTGTAAAATTCTCTCAACAAAATTGAAGACTGCTGTTGTAGTTGACTTACCACTTTGAAACCCATGCTGCGTACTTGTGATAACATTATTTATTTCTAAAAATGGCAATAGTCTGTTACACATAGCAATTTCAAAAACTTTGGAAAAACAAGACAAAAGACTAATTGATCTATAATTTTCTACTAGGAAAGGATCTCCTTTTTTGTAAATAGGTATTACAACAGCAATCTTCAATTGCATTGGAAAAATACCAGATTTAAAGGACTCTGAGGATATAGCTTAGTAGATGTATTAAATGGATGCTGATATATTTTAACATCACATTACTGATGTTATCATCACCTGTTGTGTGTTTATTTTTCAAGTGGTTGATTATATTCTTTAGTTCTTCTGGCGTTACATCCTAAATGTATAATGATCTTGGGTATCATCAACATAATTTAAATTAGCATTACTGGACACACCTTAATAAATTTGTTGCTGCTGAGACAAAGAAATCATTAAAATAATTAGCAACTGTAGTTGGCCCTCAATACTGATACCTTTAAAAAAATTATTTTTTGTTTTAGCTTTGCCCAATTCAAAGTTTACGATATTCCAAGCAGTTTTTGTTTTATTTTTTAATGTTAAGATTTTCTAATTGTAAAAATTTTTTTCTCATTCTGTATTAGGTTTGTATAATATGTTTAAAATTCGTTGATATTTAGAAATTTGATTTAATAAGTACATTTCCGATAAAAAAGATTAAGAGTATTTTTAACTTCATTAATTTTTTGAGACCTCCACTTGAGTTTTATTGTTTTGCACATATTCATCTTTTTTAATGGGAAAGCTTCATTATAGTGTCCACAAAGATTATTAATGAAGATATTCATATCATTTACAGAATGAGATTTATAAACTGAAAGCCACGTCTCACATGCTAATAGTGAGTTAAACTTAGCATAGTTTCTTTTGCTAAAAATACGTTTATATTTATGCTCGGTTTTGAGCCTAAATTATTTCCAACTATTGACATATATTGAGCTTTACGATCAGATATATTTGTGTTTACAACCCTAGCATTATACATTAAAAACTGTGGTACATAAATATTATCAAGGCAGATACTGGAGGTAGACGTGACTCTCGTGGGTTCAGTAATACTAATTTGCATATTATACGCATCTAACAAATTATTTACCATTATCTTATTTTTTAAAATTTTAGTATTGTAAGTAATTTAGATGCAAGTGCTTTAGAAAGCAAATTTGTACATACATGTAATGGTGATCTTTCATGATACATTTGTGTGTACCAAATAAATCAATGACTTATCGATGAATGGAAGATAAAGTATTAAAGATGTAAAAGTTTAAACACCTCGTATCATGAAATCTGAGCATTTCCAGATCCATGTTTATATAAACTGCTTTTAATATTTTTAGATGTATAATTTGCCATTAAATTTTCTTCACAACATTCTGTAACATCCAGTATCTCTTCACTCTAGTTAACAAATAACTCAAAATATAAACAATTATTAATATAAGTTTGATATAAGGTTATTATTTTATTATGAACCGCATGCTTTTTAATAATTAATGATTAGAAGGGGTAAAGGGATTTTTGACACAATGAGTCATTCATAGAATTTGATGGATGTTCCCTTACTTCTAACTAAAATATTTCAATGGTAAAAGCACTACAAGACAAAAGAGTTTAATATCTTTATAAATATATAATTAATTCAGGTTCAAAAACGAAAGTTAATGAGTCCATTTTATTAACCTATTACTCTATTCACATTACCCTTCTGTTCCTCTTTCACATGTCATTGAGATTTATACCCCAAACAGATTTTTAAAACTATTAATTTTTTTTCAGATAACTTCCTTTGTAAGTTCAGCAGATGCAGCCATTAATGAAATTAAAGTAGAACACAAAGAAGATCTTGTGGTACCGTTCGGTCTTAATGGTTAACTATATTTGATTGAATAATTCATATTACACAAACTTTATATATTGCAAGTAGATGTTTAAAAAATGCTCGTTCATTTATCTTTACTATAACATCAATCTAAAATTCAATTTTTATGATAGCTGCCACACAATCAAACTCGTTTTATTCAATTATTTGCACAAAAATTGAAGTGCATGTTTATAAATATTGTATTTTCGAACAGTGTTGGAGTAGGCAATTTTGGCTCTAACATATTTAGTTCTTCATAATATAAAAATGATTCTACATAAAAGAGTGTTAGAGATAACATCCCCATAATTTTAACAAAATGGAGCAAAATTAAACCTAAATATATGTTTTTAAGTAGATTTTATATTTTTCTGTCTTATATGTATTGATAATTTTTTATTCATGTATCGTTTTTTTTTTTTAATTTATCTTACTTAATTTTCTATTTTGCGAGATATGGACGATTTTTTTTATAAAGAAACTGTTGATTTTAAGGGTTTATCTATTTGTCATTTGTTAAACTAATGAGGGTGTTACCTCTAACCCTGTATAAAATAAAATGTAGTATTCATATTTTTTGAAGTGATACTTCTTATGACCCCGCATGGCCTGAATAATATGAAGAGTGAAATGATAAAAAACGACACATTTTGATTTTCAGACACCTTGATAGCCTTGAAATCCCATTCCGACTGTGTACGAATAAATTCAAATAAATTAAATGACTAAAGTCATATTTTCTAATTCATCCCATTTCTTTTTTTTTTTTAGTTTCAGAGGGAATTGGTCTAAGAGGTTTCACTTCTATTATGCGTTTGATAACACAAATTCTTTTTTTCTAATAACTAACAAATCATATTTTTCAATAAACAAATATACCTTAATGAATGAAAACTGGAATATATTCTTTATTAATATCATAATATTACCTTTAATATCATGCATATTATGGATTAATTATATTTATTGTTATATAGAACAGATACAAATATTATATTTTTAAGTCAAAATTATATCCTATAGTTATATTATAATTTTTTAATCGATCACAATGATTGCTTTAAACGAAATCAACAATATTGGACAGCATTACTCATTTATCTGACTTGGAATCAGCTTGTAATTGAACGTAGTCTGACACTGTTTTTAAAATAATGACAGGATGATTTTGTGGCAAATCGTTAATTCTAAAAATCATTTTTTCATTTTGTATCTTATGTTTTACTAAATAAAATTTTATCAATTAGTTTGAGCATGTTTTTTTTTGTTTACAAATTTTGAATATTATAAAAATTTATGTTTTTCTTCAAGCTATAAAAACTTAAACTGCAAACTAAAAAGTGGGTGCAATTTGAAATCTACCTAAAATAAATTTATATGAATATATTATTATTTCTGTACATAAAATGTGTATGACTAAGTCTATTTGTAACGTAAGACTAATCTTACGAATTATTAATTATTGCTTTTTATCAAAGTATTTTCATATGTTATATTAGTTAGAAATAAGTTATTTTTATTAAATATTGTAAATAGGGTTTCATTTTGTGAATATACTGTGGTGTTTTCCATTTGATCTTATTGATTTATTCCATTCTTTTCCGTGTTCCATATTGAGAAGGTGATTTTTTATTAGTAATTGTTTTCATATTTTCACTTTGTTCAATATACAAGGTGGGCTACCAGTAACGTCTCGGTCTATAGAGCCAAAATTAAAAATCCATGATGAGGTGTTATTGTAAATATCTATTTGAATTGGTGACCACTGTAACAATCAGTTTTTAAAATCCGACAACGGCGCATTTTACACTATGAATCGAAGTAAACTTTGTGATTCCTTCCTTAAGTGTTATACACATGTTGTCAATTATTTTTAAAATATAAACTTTCATTTGTATACTCTAAACCAGAGGACCCCAAATTCTTTTGTCCTCATAGACCACTTGCAATGTTTTTCGGTCTTGTGTAGACCCCTGCTTAGCAAATATTACATTTTAAAAAATCCATCAACTTATTCAAATGTGTTTTGACTGATTTCTAACTGTAAAAGAAAAAAAACATTAATTTTTACACATATGTATGTTAGCAGGTAAACAAATTTTTGTTAATTGTAGTACGGTAAAGACCATCTCTCTCTGTATCTGTAACGTGTGGAGGGTGGGTTACCCCCACGGCACTTAGGTCTCATTAGGCCCATTGTGCATCCTCCTAAGTTGATAGGCACCTCCTAGCTCGTGAGACAGCCTACAGATTTAATGTAGTTAACAACGTCGCCAAGAGGTGCTTCTCTTATATCGGCCGATACTCGCCGAACACAAATCTTCTAATAAATGAGAGCATTGAACAATCGTAAGGGATATGCTCGATGGTGTTATCTTGTTCGTACCCTCTGCAGAGTGCGGATTCTGACAGCCCCATGATATGGAGATGCTTCCGTACTTGGCAATGACCAGTCAGAATGCCTGTGACTAGGCGCAGATTCTGTCTTGTCATAGTCATGTATTTCTTTGCTGCAGTGTTGTCAGAATAACTTAAGAGCTCCCTGGCAACTCTGCAGTTTCTTGTTTCATCCCATCTTTCCTTGAATTTCACAAAGGAATGTTCTTTAATTAGGTCTGTCACTACCGATTTTGTCCAAAAAGACTGCTTTCTTGACTAGTGAATCAGCAAGACGGTTACCTTTCGATGTGGCATGCACTTTGATCCATCTTAAGGTGACCACATTGTTGATGCGGATACTTCGGCCAAAGCTTCGTGGCATTCTAGTACTAACCCTGAATAAATTCGTGGTCTGTTCAGGGTGAGTAGTGCTTGTCTGCTATCTGTATAGATGAGCATGGTCCTTCCAGTGATATTGTTTCTGGTTATTTCTTTTGCTGCTATGAGAATCCCCGTTAGCACTGTTTGAACTACACTGGCACTATTACTCACAGCCCATTTTATGTTTAGGTTTAAGAGTCTGGAGTATATTCCACATCCTGAGCCTTGTTTTGTTTTAGAACCGTCGGTGTAGATATGAATCGTACCTGCCACTTCTGGCTCTTCTATTTGTTCTGTTATAACTTTATATGGCTTATGGAAGATATATCTCGGTGAGATGGGAGATGGAGTCCATGTTCGCTTGAAGCAGTGGGAGCGTATCATATGCGCCTCCTGCCAAAAGTGACGTCTCGCAACCTTCTTGATGTAAATATCAAGGGGAATGAGACTAATAATGACTTCCATCGCTCTGGTCGGTGTTGTTTTCATGGCTCCTGTTATGTTGAGACATGCTGTCCTTTGAATTTGTTCTAGTTTACGGATAGCTGTTAATTTTTGGGTTTTCGATACCCTCGGAACATCTGGGGGGTACTTCAAAGAGACTTATTTTTATATTTTATGGAATATATTAGTTATTACTTTCCTATCTGTATACAGATAAGGTAAGTATAGGAATCATGATTTTTTCGAACTCCAGTTTTCGACGGATTTTTACGTTTTGGGTCCCCTGAATCCGTTTTGACTATTTTCGGGATGATGTGTGTGTGTGTCTGTATCCACCATAACTCATGAACCGATACAAAGAAAAACACCAAATTTTAAACTTAAGCTTTATTCCTGCGTCCAATGAGCTGATTAGATTTTGGGTAGAGTCGGAACATCTGGGGGGGTACTTTATTGGTGGTCATTTTTATATTTTATGGAATATATCTGTTATTTACGTTTGGAGAAGAAAATTCTTTAAATAAAAGTTACTAACAATATTTTTATCATAATTTTTTCTATACCAAATTGTCCGTATTCGAGAAATTTGATAAAATGTAAAAACATATTTTTTCATAAAAATTGTTCAAATAAAAGTTGTTTGTAATATAATTCTCTATAATTTCTATCCTATACATAATTTCTCTAAAATGGACCGAATTCGAGATATTCAAGAAAATGTGTAAATTTCGAATTTTGAAGAAACTCAAAAACAGATAAAGGAAAAAACATTAAATTTTAAACTTAAGTTTTACTTCGGCTTAACGTGAAATGATTACATTTTAGACAAAGTCGGAACATCTGGGGGGGTACTTTATGGGAGGCCGTTTTTATATCTTATGGAATATATCTGTTATTTATGTTCGGAGAAGAAAATTGTTTAAATAAAAATTACTTCTAATATTATTATCTATAATTTTTGTTATATGCCAAGTTTTCCTGAAATGGTCCGTATTCGAGAAATTGGACAGAATGTGCAAAATTCGAATTTTTAAGAAAATTGTTGAACTAAAAGTTGTTGTCGATATCGATCTCTATAATTTTTGTTTTTTACATGATTTTTCTAAAATGGACCGTAATAGAAAAATTGGAGGAATAGTGCTAAATTAAAATTTTTCAGTATTTTCGTTTTCAATGAATATATCTATAGAAAAATGTTTCGAGTTATATGTATGTAAGTGGAAAATGTATACGGAGTGGCCCAAAAGTCTGGAAACGGTCAATTATCTCGTAAAGTAATAGTCCTAATTGTACAAAATTTGGAATACACCTATTTTGGGATACAGAGATTCCAGATTTGATATTTGCAATGTTGCCAGACTTGTCATTTTTCTTATATTATTAGTCACTTTGGTTTTTAAAATTAATCACCTTGTATATTCAGTCATTATTGGAATCTCCTATTCAATACGAGTTCAACCATATGTAACACTTATGATTTTATCAAGTCTGGAAGGTCTCAAATAAATAAAACAATCCTGGAGAAATGTGGTATACGCATTCTACCATCGATTAGGGTACTGGCAACACAAAAATGGAGCACATTTTGAACACTTGATAAAGTAACCATTATGTTAAAAATGTTGTTATCTTTCAATTGTTACGTCTAATGTAGTTGAAAATAGTTTGTATTAAAAAAATTATTGAGATAATTAGGCGTTGCCAAACTTCTGTTTTATTTATCTAAGACCTTCTAGACTAAATAAAATCATAAGTGTTACATATGGTTGAACTCGTATTGAATAGGAGATTCCAATTATGACTGAATATACAGGGTGATTAATTTGAAAAACCAAAGTGACTAATAATTTAAGAAAAATGGCAAATCTGGCAACATTGAAAATATCGAATCTGGAATCTCCGTATCCCAAAATAGGTGCACCCCAAATTTTGTACAATTAGGACTAGCAATTTACGAGATAATTGGCCGTTTCCAGACTTTTGGGCCACTCTGTATATTTTGTTTATCCTCTAAACATTTATAGAGGTGCTGCAATAGGTTGTACAAAATAACCGGAAAAAGCCTGTAATAACTAGATAGGAAAGTCATGTGTTGGACACATTAGATTTTTAGTATATGTTGCTAAATATATACAGGGTGTTTCAAAAAGATTGGTCATAAATTATACCACATATTCTTGGGTCAAAATTAGGTCGATATTAAACCGTACTTACCTATATACAAAAGTGCACCCAAAAATAGTTATGAGATAAAAATTTAAATGAATTTTTTTAACGTTGCTCTTAAACCGTTTGTCATTTTTTCATGACATTTTATATGACGTGTTGAATACCATGACTAATAATACCGAGGAAGAGGCAATATTTTTTTCTTGATTTTTATAGGTTTTTGGAGGGGGTCACCGCTCTTTTTTCCACTCAACTTTTTTGTAGTATAAAATTTAATTACAAATGAAACGCCACTGGAATGCAACATCCATTTGGAAACTTTTTTGTCTCTTAGTATTTGTTTGTTAAACATTTAGTTTAGACGATACAGCCATTTAAAATGACAACTTAAAAATATTCAAGTTTATTTTTAAATTACAAACTAATGTCATCAAAATAAAAAAATTAATTTAACAGGTGTTTAATATTACATTCTTCTCCTGTATACACCTACTGTATAGTTTTAACAATGAAAATCGAATTTTGATATTTTTGCATACGTATAATTTACATTGAATATTTTTAAAATGTCATTTTAAGTGGCTTTATCGTCTAAACTAAACATTTTACAGAAAAATACTAAGAGACAAAAAAGTTTCTAAATGGATATTGCATTTCAGTAGCGTTCGATTTTTAATAAAATTTTATATTACAAAAAAGTTGAGTAGAGAAAAGGGTGGTGACACCCTCCAAAATCCTACAAAAATAAAAAAAAATATATTGCCTCTACCTCGATTTTGTTAGTCATGGTATTCCAACACGTCATATAAAATTTCATGAAAAAATGTCAAACGGTTTAAGAGCAACGTTAAAAAAAATTCATTTAAATTTTTATCTTATACACCCTGTAACTATTTTTGGGTGCACTTTTGTATATAGGTAAGTACGGTTTAATTGACCTATCTTTGACCCAAGAATATGTGGTATAATTTATGACCAATCTTTTTGAAACACCCTGTATACAGGGTGTCCCGAAATTAGACGGTCATATTTTAACAGCATAATCTACATCCTAAAATAGGAGTAAAAGTTTATATAAACATAGGTCCGAAAACGTTTCTTTTCCGAGATACAGGGTGTTAAAGTGAAGTCCTGATGACACTCTTTTATAAATATTTTCTAAACGTTTAAAGATAACTAAATGAAATTTGGTACAATTTAACGGACTAAACCCTAGTTTTTGGATCATTTTGATAGGTGGGTAAATTAGGGGGGGGCTTAGGGTAAAATTACCCTAAGTTTTTTTTGTTGACAGTGTTTAACATTTTTGACTATAAAATTTGGAAAACCAATGTTTTCTTTATAATAAAGCTACCTCTGTTGCATCTCGCTAGGACGCATCATTTTCAAGAAAAAAGCATTTGAAAATTTCATGATAAGTTATTTGAAAGTGTAAACAATAATTAGTGGCCTGTGAAATCAGAAATTTTATTTTTTTTTTACTTTGGAAAACCGATGACTAAAGAAATTTTAAAAAATATTTACAAAAATGTGCCATCAGGTCTTCACTTGTTACACCCTGTATCTCAAAAACGAAACGTTTTCAGACCTATGTTTATATAAACTTATTCCTATTATAAGATGTAGATTGACTCTGTTAATATATGACCGTCTAATTTCGGGACACCCTGTATTTCTTATGAAGAGTTTAATTGCCCGCACTCCACCAAGAAATAGCTCTATTTTTTTATTTTTTAGTGCTGCATATTGGTGCGTCACTAGTGTAATAGTTTTATTTTTTTAATTTCTGAGGGGGGACGAGCAACTTTACCGACCTCGAATTTTATATAAAGTAGAATTTTAATTTGGGACAATGAGTATATGTTTTTTTCCAATATCATTCAGAATGAGATACCGGCGGTGAATCATTAATATCATTATGTAAAGGGTTTTTATATTTAGTGTATTAAAAATGAATCAGTACTTCTCGTACCTTCAAACGAAAAATATATCGGAAGTGCGCGTGCGATATCATGTTTTTTATAGTTCGGTTTATTTATTATTAATAACATTGTTATAAAATATATTTAGTGTGTGATGTGTATGCCAATGGTGCCGGATAGATACATTAGGTGAGTGTTATTAATTTATTTGTTTTCACTTAAATCCAAAGAAGGTGGAATTTTATCCAAAGGAAATTTCCTTTTTTAAAAACCATGTTTGGTAGCCTTCTATAATATATGACTCACTGATTCCAGAAATCGAATAGTTTTCTTTATCTAGTTACTAGCGAGAGTGTAGGTAGCGATTTTTAAATACTGTATATTCCGATCAGGTTTACCAGGTTTTTGAAAGAGATGACGGACAGAAAGGGGATTTTAGGGGAAATAGGGGGAAGTAAAAACAACTCGGTCTATTTTTACTTTTTTAATCAAAATTACTTATTTTGCAAGAAATCCTTACCTAATTTTGGTAGATTCCTATACTTTCCTTATATCTGTATACAGATAGGAAAGTAAAAAGTGCTTTTCAGGTCAAATTTTCAGAGACCATTCCCAATTCCCTTTTTAACATATTTAGTACTTATAATTAAATGTTCTACGTAAATCAAAATCTGATGTGTCCAACACATGACTTTCCTATCTAGTTATTACATGCTTTTTTCGGTTATTTTGTACAACCTATTGCAGCACCTCCATAAATGTTTAGAGGATAAAATAAATATATTCATTTTCCACATACATCTACCTCGAAACATTTTTCTATATTCATTAGAAATGAAAATACTGAAAAATTTAAATTTAGCACTTTTTCTACAATTTTTCCATTACGGTCCATTTTAGAAAAAACAAGTATAAACAAAAATTATAGAGATCGATATCACAAACAACTTTTATTTCAACAATTTTCATAAAAATCAGAATTTTGCACATTTTGTCAAATTTCTCGAATACGGATCATTTCAGGAAATTTTGACATAAGACAAAAATTATAGATAATAATATTAGAAATAACTTTTATTTGAACAATTTTTTTCTCCAATCATAAATAACAGATATATTCCATAAAATATAAAAACAGCCCCCCATAAAGTACCCTCCCAGATGTTCCGACTTTGTCCAAAATCTAATCATTTCACGTCAGGCCGAAATAAAACTTAAGTTTAAAATTTAATGTTTTTTTCTTTATCCAGTTTTCTTCAAATTTCGAAATTTACACATTTTCTCAAATATCTCGAATACGGTCCATTTTAGAGAAATTATGTAAAGGATAAAAATTATAGAGAATTATATTACAAACAACTTTTGTTTGAACAATTTTTATAAAAAAAATATTTTTTTACATTTTGTCAAATTTCTCGAATACGGACCATTTTAGAAAAATTTTGTATAGAACAAAAATTTTAGATAATGATATAAGAAGTAACTTTTATTTATTTATTTCTTCCCCAAACGTAAATAACAGATATATTCCACAAAATATAAAAATAACCACCTATAAAGTACCCCCCAGATGTTCCGACACTGCCCAAAATCTAATCAGCACATTGCACAGTGGAACAAAGCTTAAGTTTAAAATTTGGTGTTTTTCTGTGTATCGGTTCATGAGTTATGCGACACACACACAGACATCATCGCGAAAATGGTCACAACGGATTCAGGGACCTCAAAACGTAAAAATCCGTCGAAAACTCGAGGTCGAAAAAAATCATGATTCCTATACTTTCCTTATAATCTGTATACAGATAGGAAAGTAAAAAGTGACGACTGGTAAAATTTTCTGAAACTTTGGCATGTTGTACTCAACTTTAGTAACCAAAAGTGTCAATGAGGGCCCAACTCAATCCTATGACTAGTTTTCGAGATACGGGGTGTTAAATCTAAACATTAATGTAAAATTTTACTGAACAAACGTTTTTGGTGTCATCTATCAGCAAAAAACAGTTAAATAAACTTTACCAGTGGCGTACGGCATCTCCTCTAAATTTTATGCCACTCTAAAAAAACTTATTTTGACTATAATTTTGAATTTCTTGATGTTTTTTAAATAAATCATGTACTCTTGTTGGGAATTCATGAAAAATCCCAAATTACATATTTGAAAAATAAATTAAAATTAAAAAAATCTACCTATCAGTGTAACTATCTTGAAAATCAATAATTTTATGAATTCCCAACAAGAGTACATGATTTATTTAAAAAACAAAAAAATGTAAAAATATAATCCAAATAAGTTTTTCAACAGTGGCGTAAAATTTAGGGTGGATGAAAGTATATTTAACTGATTGTTTTGCTGATGTGGCTCTTATGACACCAAAAACGTTTACCGAATTTAATAAAACTAGACTGAGAAATAAAAAAAATATAGCCATTAATTATTAATTTTTAAATTTTCAACTTTAACACCTTGTATTTCGGAAACCAGTAATATTTTATCTAAGCATGTTTCATTTAATTGTGTTATTTTTAATCACATAATCTTTAGTTGTTCTTAATGAGACACCCTACCCTGTATATTATACCTTTCTGTATGAAAAGGTTTAAATTACACCAACATAATAGAATAGATAATTATCAACTTTATTGTCCCGTGTATAAAAATTTGTCACTAATATCGGAAAATGATGTGTATGTATTTTGTAGGTAATTATAAATAGTGTAATGTTATTAAAAAAGTCACTTAAGAAATGCAAGATCTCGTAATTTTAAAAAATAATTATTTTCTGATGGTTGGCTGCATGTATAAAAGGTACAAATAGCTTCGAAATTGTGAACAGGTAGATTAACTTACTAAAATAATTTCTTTGAGGGACAACTGTAGAATGATTGAGAGTTTACAAAAATATATTGATTTATTTGTAAATTACCCTGTAACAGTAAATATATTAAACTGTCACTTTTTATGAACATCTGTCAAAAACTTATATAACTAAAAAGTAAGTTTAACGCCCTGTATCTCGAAAACGTCATGGTATTGGATTTAAAATTCATAAGTCTTCAAATGAAGTAAACAGTATTATATACCTACTGAGAAAATAGTTACATTTGACCAGGGAAATTTTAGAATACAATCTTGGATTTTGTACTTTTCTTAAAATAGAATACCTTCCAACAAATAAATCACTTTGTATATTTTGAAGCTTAGAGGTATACATATATTTTAGTGGTATTCCTTTCCCAAAAATCAATAAGTACAGGGTTCTGAATTAATCCTTAAAAAAATGTGGACTGTGCAATATTTTGTCATCAAAAAACCACATTAAGTAGTACTTTTTAAAAATAAGCTTCCCTGATGTCATAGTAGAATTAGTGAGATTTTCAAAAAAACTATCATCATACATTTGTGTAATTATAAGTTCTTTGGAGATCTGACTTGTGTAAATATGTCCTATAATAGCAACAGTAAATGGTTTAATTTGAACTTCCTCTAGGTTCACAATGTTTTGAAACTGAGTAATTTAAACAAAATAAAAATGATTAATAAATATATTTCACATTTAATCAAATATTAGGTATTATATTTACAATAAATTCACATCTAAATACAGTTAGATAAAATTTATGACTTAGAAGCATTTGCTACTGCCAGCACCAATGCTTGAGTTGGATGCGGATGACTAGTAACAGGAACTATTGCTGGAATATCATTTGACCCATGGAAAAAGTGCAACATAAATCCAGCAGCTAATAATAAGTGAAATAATATTATACCTATAGAAATTAAAAATTTATGTTTAGAAAGTCTCAAAGCCGGAGTTAAGGTAAGAAGTAATACTGATCCAGAAACAAAGGTACCAAATAATAGTAAACCCCATTGTAATAAATTTATCTGTATGAACCATAGAATTGATATTGGAATGTATATAAAAAGCGAGTAACCATATACACAAATAATTTCTAACACTCCAGTAGTTAACTCATCATCTATTCCTTCGATATCTTCTACTGGACTTATACTATATTTTAATAAGGCCCACAAAATAAAAGGAACCAAAATCACGTATAAAAATATTGTAGTAGCAGCTATTGATACCATATGAAAATCGTATTTCCATTGATATTCACTTGCTGAATGTTGTAAATAATTAGCTATGTTTCCACTAATAGCTATGCTAAAAATGAGGGTAACTGATATCCAGAATGGGCCATATAAGTCTGGTTTTTCACGTAAATGACGTTTCAAAGTGTTATCCCATTTTGGGGTTATGGAAGCCATGATTCGTTCTGCAACATCTGAAGTGTCTACATCGAAAAATTTTTGGTAGTATTCTAATGTCCAGAAGGCTTTTTCAGGTGGATTTCCTAAAATAGATTCTTAGCAACACCTTTTCAAACATTTAAAAATAATTTTACCTGTTCCATCTGATACTGGGCCATCTCCAGCACCGCGTAAGTTTTCATTAGCGTTCATATCACCTTTTACATCGTTTATAGTTATTTGTGTTTGGGAAATTGGTATAGTTGTATTAGATCCACTAGAATGGACAGAAGGAAAATCTTGAAAATTTAAAAGTTCGTCTGTCGGTACTTCTTGTAAATTGGTCATTTTTTGTTCTTGTTTCTTGTATTAAATTATTAGCATTTTATGTCAACGTGTGACTATGTGCGTTTAACATTATTTTTATGTTTGCAAATGGCAAGATTAATTCTTATATGGCATATTTACGTTATGACGTCTATTTGTCAAATGTCATTGTCAATGTCAACGTCAACTGGAGCCAATGATATAGTTATATAGATTGATCACTCTATGTAAATAATAAACTAGGAAAAGCGCGCTGCTCACTGAGTGGCCCAAATGTATTAAAAAAAAAATTAATAATTTGAAAAAAGAATATGTCAAAACATGAATGACCTGCCAAAATTGCTACTTGTTGAAATTATTTAAAATGAAACAATCCCTATTAATGCTGCGTTTGAGAATCCACATCGGATGCATTTTTTACATCTCGAGCGTTTTTTTATCCACTTCGGACACATCTGTCCCATTACATTTACGTATACTGAATCACGTGATCAAAGATTTTTTACATCTCAGATGCATCCGATGTGGATTCTCAAACGCGGCATTAGACACAACTCAACTTTTTTCACGATTAGTTATTCTGTGACGTTACTTTAAATTTCTCTCTCATAATGTCAACAAAAGGGGGGTGGGTGGCTCAGTGGTTAGAGCCTCTGCCTGTGGATCCAAGGGTCCCAGGTTCGAATCCCACCGTTGGCCGGAATTTTTTCATTTAATTTAATTATTTAAAATTAATTCTGATGCCTTGGTAGGATTCCCCACTCGACCATTCACTGTTGGGTTCTAATTAACAGTGCTGTTCCTAAAGTGGCGCTGGGAAACAGTAACAAAGCCTACACAGAACACACATGATTGAGAATTTAAACACAAATTTGAGACTGGCATATTAGGTATATACACCTAGGCCATAAATCGAAAAAAAAAAAAAAAAAAAATAATGTCAACAAATACATAACACGATGAGTTTAATAAATAAATGTATGTCTGGAATTAGCACGGTGGCAAATACCATTTTTAAATCTAACAAAGTGCCTTTACAGGTCCGTTTTAGCCATTTCATGTACTTATTTTAAAATCAAGAGAAATTAATATTTCTGAAAATCCACAATAAAAAATCCAATTTACACTCTTCCAATATATTTCTCACTTGAAGTAATAAATTTACCATATACGGGGGATGTCAAAAAATAGAAATTTGAACAGTTACACTTATGTATATGGAATCGCAGAGCCATCTGTAAAAAAATTGATATGTATAATAAGTATCCACCATTTTGTCATTTCTTACTCTAAAAAACAAACATGCTTTGAAAGTTATTGGTAATGATAGAACAATATCCCAGACAGCACACCAAATCCTTTGGATATCTAATGAACATCCCAATATCCACTGAATGTCCAGTCCATGGTGGATATCTATTTTATATCCATGAAATGTAATTTATAGACATGCAAATGTCCATAAATAATAGTAATTATATAGCAAATTATTAAAAAATTACGCCATTGATATTTAAAATTAATTTTTTTAAGGTGTATTCTATATCCCATGGACATCCACTATAAATATATCAAAGTCTAAGCGCGGACGCAAACCATCGTGGATATCTACTAGATGTAATTTTTGATTTTGCTTCCTAAGTATAGATGGCGATACCACTTTCGTATCTACTCATGCTCAACCCGCCGTAAATGAGTTCGATCGAATTTTTTTGGCAATCACACTCTATTAGAGATTGGAGTCGAGAATTTCCATTTGTTGCTGAAGAGTCCTAATAAGGATGACTTTCTCCTTAGTGCCCTTATAGTGGGCAAAATCAAAGGCAGATTGTTGGAAATATTTTTTATCTCTATTTTCTTTCGAGGTTATTCAATAATCATTGGTTACTTATGAACCTCTACTAAAGATACCTATAAAATATTTTGCTGAATATCTGAATTCTATATCCATATTGGATATCCACAAAATATATTCTGTGGATATCTCTGGGATTTCTTGTATTGTCTGTCATTAGCTATTTTGCTGAATATCCATAGGATATCTTCTATATTCTGGATATAGACGGACATTTGGATATCCATATTAGATCCACGGAATATTTCTGATATCCTGTGGATATATTGGATATCCACAAAAGATATTCTGTGGATATCTCTGGGATTTGGTGTGTTGTCTGGGTATATAAATTTATTAAAACTTATCTTTACATAGTCTGCATATGCTTTTTACAAGAAGGATCCTAAGCATCTGTCAAATCCAACAGGCCCACAGAGTTGTCAACCATTTAGTTTGGAATGCCATATTATTAAAAAAACACATTTTATTAAATCTATAAACAGTAGGTAAATATTTTATTGAAAATGGTAAATATATTTTTTACATTAAAATATATACATATTTTATTTTATCTTTCTAAAATTACCAGGAAACTATTTAAGCATTTGTTAAAATTATTGTCTTCTGGCAACAAACACTTTTTCTCCAACATTCAAATTGCCAGTTTTTCGAACCTCTAATTGAAGACCCATTACTGGAAGTTTTTGTGGACCATTACTGACTCTATATCTAAAAATTAAAAAAAAAATATTTATCTACAACATCTTCGTTAATATCCGTATCGGTTTATATGATGTCTCTATCGTTAGCACGCATAACGTTTTTAAAAATATGCAGTTGATGCAAGCGTACGTAAACTGGAAGCCACACGCGACTACGCCTCCAGAATATTGAAAGGGATAAGCATAAATACGAATGGGACATCTTTTCGCCAGCAGATGCAACAGTTTTTCATCTCATATTAAACAACACATAAGAAGTGATCTACATTTTAATAAACTCAAAGCATTTATGCCGTGCAATTATGCATTATCTGCTCTTATTAGGTCGTTTAGTCTGGGCAAATTAATACTGATGACTTGCGAAATTAAATCATTGGCAATTAGACATTTCCTCCCTACGGGATTTTGGTTCTTGTTTACTGGTTGCCATGACAACAGTTTCTAAGTAACTGATTTTAGCTAAACGAAATTGACTCTTGTTTTTTATTCCTTTATTTTTTTTAATTAACTTACTTCTCCAATTCCTTTAGAGGCTCCCTACTTTGATTTCTTATACCATTTTCTGGATTAATAGTCGGTACCATACATCTTGTACAATCTCTGACAGTTCTCAAAATGACATCTCCCACCTTGATCCATTCCCAATCGTCCTCATCGTATGGTTTGAGTCCAGGACCGTCAACCACAAGGTTCGGTCTAAAGTGGTTAACAGTAATGGTATCGGTAGTGATTCTTTGTTGAAGATCTTTGACTGAGGGTTGGCTGATGAGATTCACACTTACTTGGTCAGAATATAGACCCTAAAAAAACATTTAAAACAAATGTCAAATATTGAGAGTTTTTACTTATACACAGTATTGTGCTGAATTCGATACCCTGTTCACTATTGGTGTAATTTTTAATAAAAATCTGATGTGTCCAACACATGACTTTCCTATCTAGTTATTATAGGCTTTTTCCAGTTATTTTGTACAACCTATTGCAGCACCTCTATAAATGTTTAGAGGATAAACTAAATATATACATTTTCCACATACATCTAACTCGAAACATTTTTCTATAGATATTCATTGAAAACGAAAATACTGAAAAATTTAAATTTAGCACTTTTCCTTCAATTTTTCCAATACGGTCCATTTTAGAAAAATCATATAAAAAACAAAAATTATAGAGATCGATATCACAAATAACTTTTATTTAAACAATTTTCCTAAAAATTTGAATTTTATTACATTTTGTCAAATTTCTCGAATACGGACCATTTTAAAAAAAAATTGTATAGAACCAAAATTATAGATAATAATATTATAAGTAACTTTTATTTGAAGAATTTTCTTCTCCAAACGTAAATAACGGATATATTTCATAAAATATAAAAATAACCACCAATAAAGTACCCCCAAATGTTCCGACTCTGCCCAAAATCTAATCACACACACACACGCACGCACGCACGCACCCACGCACACACGCACGCACGCACCCACGCACGCACGCACGCACGCACGCACGCACGCACACACACACACACACACACACACACACACACACACACACACACACACACACACACATACACGTTTCTACGTATTTATGGCAACGCATGCATTATCCTCAATTGTGGCGCTTTGTAAAATATTGCTACCATTAATGGCTCCTGTTCTGAGGAGTGTATAACTCTTTTTATTTTGTTTTTACCCTCCGTAGTTTAGAATTTATAACGAAAAATGATTTATGGCATCAGTCGCCACTATTGGGTAAGGGTAAACGAGTTGCCTTAAATATGTATATATGAAGAAAGTGTGTCTCGAAGGTGCCATTAATATAGTTCTACGGGATCTGTGTGAATTGCGCTGCTGCCAAATTAACAAGTTGCCACAATCATTGACAAATCGGTTTGAGGTGTCCATACCTAATAAAACTATTACCTTCATATTTTTTTAAATTTATTAAAATCCTAATAAAATTATAAGCTTCCTCAAATTAACTGAACATAGTCATTTTCTTTCGATTCTTACCAATTTGATTTTTTACGCAATATTTTATATTCTTCCATGGTCTCGAGCATAATAGAGGATATGTTACGAGGCATTCTTTACATTCTTTTTTGTGGGTATAATATGGTTTTTTATATTTATTTTAAAAAATGTCAGAACTACTTGAATTCCATCTCTTGACCATGGTTGTGGTTTTCTTCCTTTGTTTCTTTCGAAAAAATACTATACGAAAATGAAAAGTCAGTGTTTTTTAGAGATTCGTTTTTAGAATAAATATAAATTTCCGTTTCCAAAATGGATGAGGTAGACAAATTAATTAATTACTCGAACTATTTTTCATGACATGCCAACAATATTAAGAAAAAACTTAAAACAGTAAAAATGTATGTTAAATTTTTTGATATTTTTGTTAAAAGTTTGGTTTAAATTAAATGTTAGTGGAACCAAAATGACATCACACTAAAATGGCGTACAAGGAATAATTTTTAACTATCAGAGGTTCGACTAACAACATTGTTACAAGGGTATCTTATTAAAGGGTCTATAAGCGGCTTTATCTAAAAATATTTTGAAGGAGAATTTTTTTTTGACAAAAACGAAAAAATATACTGATTTTTATTCCAAAAGGGACACATCAACAATCTTTGCAGCAGAGGCACTTCGATATAGGAGACCTCGAAATATACAGAGCAAATAAAACTCACACTTTAATTTAAATTATTTATAAACGTCAAAAAATGAGCAAGAGATCAGAACACTTTAAACTCTTTAAAAATGACCACCACCTAAGCAAAATGTGCGAAATTCGGTCGAGTTAGTAGTATACCGATATGTGTGTATCGTGAGGGTACGTATCAATGATTTATACGAAACGTCAATTTGAAATTTGGCAAAAAGGCGACGAAAAATGGACAAAAATCGTTTTGCTTGCTCAAATATTAGTTTAATAATATTACTTTCAAAAACAAATAAAATTGACGTTAAATTGTGCTTAAGAGTTCTATTTATCTTGTTTAACAATCCTTTCAAATACCATGAGAAATGAGAATTTTTGTAGAGAACATTTTATTTTTTCTTACAAATTATACACATTTCTTTCAAGAAAATCCTCCCGAAATACCACTCGACTGACGTCTCGTGGATTTTAAAGAGGATTTTGTTTCATGAAATTTAGACGTATAATTTCCAAGAAAACAGCAAAATGTTACCCTTGAAAACATGATTTTAAATCACTTATAAAAAAAATTGAATTATACCAAAAATTGTAGGTACCATTTGTATTAGGAAATCATGAGTATTAAATTTAATAGTTTTTATTAGAAAACGAAAAAAGTATACAAAAAGACGGCCCTGTTTTCTTCAGAATTTAACAATGAAATTGTTTTACAAGAGAGCGTTTAATTTTTACCAAAACCTCAGTTAAAAAACTCCAGCTGATTTTGACCTTATCTGCCCTGCGAGGATCCACAAGCAAAATTGTAGCACAAATGAAACGATTTTATTTTTAACGAATTGCGTTGAATTTTTACCTTTGCGAAATATCTGTAACTGTAACGTTTGGTGGGATTCCCTACGGCACTTAGGCGTCTTTAGGCCCATTGTACATTCTCCTAAGTTGTTAGGCACCTCCTAGCTCCTGAGCCAGCCCTCAGATTTGATATAGTTGACAACGTCTTCAAGAGGTGCTTCTCTTATATAGGCCGTTGTTAGCCAATTCTCGCCAAACACAAATGTTTTAATAATGAGAGCATCGGGCAATATTTAAGGTGGTTATATATTCTTACTCGCGAGTGCGGATTCTGACAGCCCCATTCCATGGCGATGTTTCCGTACTTGGCACTGACCAGTCAGGAGGCGCAAATTCCATCTAGTTATAATCAAGTATGTATTTTCTGTCAGGATAACTTAAAAGCTCCCTAGCAACTATGCAGATTGTTTCATCCCATCTTTCTTTTGTGAAGTATAACTCAAGCCTAACCACGTCTTAGAAAACGAAGAAGTTCTTCACATGTCGCATTTTGATTAGGATTTCAAAAAATTTATGTGAAAATATTTGGGCCCTTTACCTCTTACGCCTTGCCATGTAACAATCCTCCTTTACTTTTTAAATAAGTATAAGAAAATATTTAAGTCGTCTACTCCTTAAGCCTGTACGTATAAAAATATTTGGAATTTTTAACCCTTAATCTTACGCATGTAAAAATAATATTAGGAAGGATCGTTTATCTTTTTGATCCCAATATCAAATTTAGATAATAAAATTCAAATCAATTTCTTCAAAATATGTTTAAAAAACTATAAATAATTAAAAGAATAACAAATTCACAGTCGACAAGCAGTAAATTTACTGCCCATGCCGCAGTGTTTAAAATAAGCTCTATAAGAAAAGCACTACATTTTAAAATACTGATATTTAAAGTATATACTAAAGTTTAAACGAAAATTCTGAAAAATCAATAGGGTTATAAGCTGGAAGAAATGGTTCAATTAAATAAAAATCGTAAGTGGTCAGACTACAACTCGTTGTAGAGTTATCTTTAACGTACATATATACATACGCACAGACGACCAGACAATAACTTTTTGTATTTTCTTTCATAGAGTGTTCTGAAATGTGAAGAAAAGTATTAAAAAGTGTGAGTAACATTTTTTTTCAGCACGAATATCATATATATTTACTTTCGATTAAAGTTCATGCATATTAAGCGTGTGAAAAAATTGAAGCTGTAGGAAAAGCAATGATCATGCTCATATAATTTTTCTGATCTTAGTGTATGTAGATTTTATATTTTTAGACAATACTTTAAAAAGATATATGTAGGATGGGTATTGTAGAAAAAATACCGAAACCGGTACTGGAATTTTTGCAATAATTCCTTAGCGTGTACTACTTGGTATTCAGACATATACCATATATTTTCTAATTCTGATAGCTGATCTATGCCTACAAAAAAAAATGTTAAACAAAATTCATAGATCACCCTGTCGCTCAGTAAAAAAAAAATATAAAAAAATTAACAGTTATTTATAACTCACCTTGTGCCTCGTACAATAATATAACAGCTTCCTTTTAAAATTTTGTAAAAAAATATAGGTATCCCAACTCATCTACTTGATAAGTAACAAATTAAAACCCGCAATACCTTTTAAAACCCTCTCTTTTCTTCTCGTTTTATTTAAGTAATAGTTACTTTTGTTCCAAGTATGGACATTCTGTGTATTTAACAAACCATCTGCTTTACATTCATAAATTATTTTACACACCCGCTTGAGAAATAGTGGCAACTTCAAGTTCTCGGAGATATTGCAATATACCAAAGAAACGAAATTTATTCGTTTACTCAAGATACAACTGCAACGCTGTAAATTCTTTAATGAGGGCGCCACCGTCCGACCACGCCCATGTTGCCATAAATGGGTAAGTGTAACAAACATAATATATCCACTATTGTGGCAACTCACACATATTTTCACAAAATGTCAATTATAAACAAAATTATAAGAAAAATTTTATAATTATATTAGTCATTAGAAAATAAAATGAAATATTAAGGATACAAATAAATAAAGTAAGGTATAAAGCTACAATTTAAGGAATTATGAAAGTTTAAAATTGTGGCAACGCGTGTAAGTTGCCACAATTCTGGCAGGTGCCACAACAGAGGTTATTGCACACACTAGTTGCCATAAGTATAGTGGAACATACACACACAGACACAGACACACACACACACACACACACACACACAAAATTCCTATACTTTCCTTATCTGTATACAGATAGGAAAGTAAAAATGTATGTAATGGGAAAGAATCGTCACCTCCATAATTTTATGAATTGATCTTTATAATGAATTACTTGCATTGGTTTCAAAATGATTGTAATGTGTATGAACTTACAGTAGAAAATTTGGTATAATTTTTATAATAGTCCAAAAGGGTCTTAGGCACAGATGTAACATCTCTTCTGTGAATCGGATTAGCATCGTGATATCCTAGGCGCAAGCCATTGCCTTTTTCTAAAATATATCTTGAAAACCACGATGCTGCCTCATCTCCGCAATCAATGGAGTTCACTTCCTCTCCTCGATGTAATCTGAAATATGTGAAAAATGTGATAAGTTACACCGAAAAATATTTTCTTGTTTGATATCTGTTTATGTTAAAACAAATTTTGATTCATCCAAAAATTCTTGCGTAAATGAATTGGTGTATCAATTCCAATTTGTTTCAAATTCATGTACACATTTAAAGAAATTTGTTTGTAAACCAACCCAACCTTTGTCAGGTGTATAGAAACACGACAAAAAAGGTTAAATAAGAACAGAAAGAATGAAAAAAATGAGACGGCTTCAACTCCAATTGGGAGCTGTCAATAGAATAATGGCTCAGAAGCAAGTGTTTGCAGAGACATCACAGAAATAAACCAAGTGCTAGTATCTGAAAAATGTTTATTGAAATAGGTGTGATTGGAATCATATGAAGAGATTTTAAAAGCCTGGTAAATGTTGGATAAAAATAATTTCTTAACAATTATTAGATTAATTGGTTTAAAGTTCTGAAATTTTGGGAATTTTTTTTGAAAATTTATCTTTAGATCAATATGTATAATATAATGGAGTGTTCCACAAAAAATATTTCTAAACCAGCTCATGGAAAAAATCACGAATATCGGAGCGAACAATTCTCATTTAAATGGTATTTTGTATTTACTTTAGGGATGACTTGTATCTCTGTTTTTGTCAGTCATGGCCTACTCAAAAACATGTTTTTAGATCACTTATTTTATAAAAAATACTAACTTTATTTTCAGTTCTTTGTTTGATTCCTTATTGGGCACCTTAACGTACAATGTCCTCATGGTAGGGGCGTCTATGGCTAAGTGATTTTCATCGTGAACTGCGACATCTATCAAAAATAGTTTTGGATAAGTTCTAGCAGTTCTAAATTCGTTGTCTTTTTCAGAGTAAACAACCAGACATCTAAAAGAAAACGATAATACTTTTTAATTTTTTTACCCTATTCTATCTCTCTTAAGGAATATTATTGCTAAATAGAGATTGACAGTGAACATTGCGATTGTATTTCCTTTTTTAAGGAGCATACTCTGATGTTTCCATGATGATATTTCGATTTCCTTATGGGGCATGATTCCATATATTTAAAAATTTTGTTAAATAGGAGTACAAGATATAGTGACAAGATTTTTAAAATAGTCAAACAATTGTATTTAAAGCTGAAATGCAATAACCGAACCAGCAAAATTCATGCAACATCAACCTGGGACCCAGTGTCGTCTACCTTTTTTTTTAAATTTTCCTCGCTAGAAGAAAACATGGTACTTATATGTTACTACTCCTACTCATCGATTATAATATCTTATACCTATCTCCCAACTGCAGAACTTTTTCATCCTCCACACTTTGTTTTATCCCAAACTCAGTACATTCTCCCTTATTCAGTTCTATGCGATGACCGCTCTTCAAAGGATAAAAATATAAATGTGTTAAGGTTCCTATCTCCTCCCATTTCCATGGTATAATGTCTCGCTTCTTCTTTTGGTAAAACTGGATTCCTAAGTATGCTAGAACTGCCGCTCCTGCTATGAAAGTGGTACCGGCTGCTACTTGGTTGACAGTCATATTGTGGTCCTAAAACAAACTTGAGACATTATTTTAATATATTTCGACAACAGTAATAATAATTGTAGAAGTTGTAAGTGAAATTATTTATAAAATATATATGGGGTGAAGCACCGAAAACGGAACGTCTTTAAATTCTTTCATATTCTCAAATGTCATACGTCATTCCCCTCCCCTACGTTACTCTAAGCAATACAATTTAAGAAGGAAAAGTACCAAGTACCATAAGATGATTGAAGTGGAAATTTTATGGCGAATTCAGCAATATTATGACTGTTCAGTGCATTATTTTTGCTTTTAGCGCCCTCTACTGGAATAAAAACTGTTACGTAATGTAATGTGTGACACTTTGTTTGAGAGCCAATTTATTAGTACTTCTATACAACTTATAATAAGTATTTATTATGCACAACATAACAATAAAAAGAAACTGAAGTTCTTAAAAAATAATAAATTTGTTACTAATAAAATTAGCTTCTTGATAAACTGTAACTCTTTACAATACGGAACAGTTTGTATTTCGCCAGAGGCTGCTAAAATCAAATATAACAACGCGTTGAACAGTAATATTTTTGAATTAGTCATAAAATGATCTCTTTAATGACATCATATTTATTTAAATTAAATTGGTTAGAGTGACGAAAGTCAGGGAATGGCATATAACAGTTGAACATATGAGAGAAAGCTGTCGATTTTGGAATAAAATCCGTCCTATTGGTTTACAAATCTAAGAAATTGTCGGGTAACGATAAAGACTAAACAACAGCCATTGCATAATGTCACATTTTCAATTGCCTAGAAGCACCGTTTGAATGACCGAGTTCACTGTGTAAACGTAGCCCACTCATAAGTAAAGCAAGGATACATTTCGCGAGTCAAATTAATTTTCGCCTGCCTGTCATTTGTCACCTGTAAGTAGGATGTTTATTTATATCGCGTTTGTTTTGGGCGGGATTTTGTATTTGTGATTTTTTAACTGTTTTTAGATAATATTCTCATTATAATAAGGTTGGTTATAACAATCAGAAGCCAATTACTGACACCCAGGATTGTGCGCAGTATATAATTTGGCAGTCGAAATAATTAATTGCGCAGAATCCTGGTGTCAGTGACTGGTTTCTGATCGTTATTGGAACAGACCTTTTGTGCTTTCGAGTTTTATTTAGTGTTAAGTTAATTTAAGTTTAGTTTCCGGGCTTTCGTCATAAATATAATATTTATCATGTATTATGACTAATTTGAAGAAGATCTTCACCTGTCTGGTTGCTATAAAAAACATCTAGAAATATTTATTTACTAAACGCAGAACATGTTTTACTATGTGGTTTAAAGGATATTTCAGGTACGTACCTAACATTTAATATTGATAAACTTAATTAAAAATCTTGCTATCCTTATTCCTATATTATAAAGTGAATGTTGTAGTACTTTATGTAAACAGTAATAGAATTCAAACTCAAAATGCAGGTATTGTAGTTTGAATCTCTAGACAAAATTTTGTAAAATCTCAATATTGTGAATTAGTAGATATCCATTTATCGTAAGAAACAAAATTTTACGAATTACGCTTGGAAAATAATGAACACTTCAGTTTTGATTTTGCCATTAACCCTATATAGATTGCAATTTGTTGGGGGATTTTCTCAAATTTCATTTTTAATGTAGTCATTATCACACACTATAAGAAATAAACAAATATAAAGCTCACAATAAGTAAGAAAAACTTCGAATTATAATTGATACAAATTAAAATATAAACAGTGAACACGAACGCCAATATTAAATGATGAACTGATTTTAAAACAAAGTTAATAAATTTAAAAAAATCAATATAATAAATCGGTTTTATAAAAAAGTCCTTGCTATTATACGCCAACACTCGAACGGCGGATATAACTATTAAAAGTTCCTAGACACTTTGAGTGTGTAATATATCTACATAATAATTTTGGGTCCGCTGACACTAAAAATTTTTTTTTACCTTAAAATCCTTAAAATTTGTTGTCTGGTCTCCATCATAAAACAAATGTGAAATAAATTATTTTTTCTGATTTCTTGTAAAAATATTAGACCATTCATAAAGCAATAAACCATACCAAATTTTTTCATAAACGATCAAATTTTCTTATTTTTCATTTTTAGTTTGTTAGAAAAACAAATAGACAGGAAATAATTCGGTTAATGAAAGTTGGCTGAAAAATTACATAGTGTCTGGCCAGTAGGTAAATTTGGATCCCGAAGTGAAAATATTTGTAGTAATCACATACATCCGTCTTTTTATTTTATTTCTGATGATTGTGCGTCGGCATGTCGGTACTTATCTAATATTTGTAAAAAATACTTCCAGGCCGTTGGAGTCTATGCCGGTCGGCGTAGCCAGGTATGGGTTAAAACTTTCTGGTGGCGGCGTAAACGCCATCCTACAAGAAATCGTTGCTTCGTCTTCTTATTGTATATCAATATTAACGTCCTCTGCCGTACTCTGCTAATGAGGGCGAGGAAGAAGATCTTGATATGGGTATTTTTAAAATTGTTTGTTTTATATAATTTTTCTGATACTGAAGTCAATTGGTTGGCCTGGTACAACACAGGGCATAGGTAAAAATGACCATTGCTATGAAATAATTGATATGGCAACATTGTATTTCTTTTAGACACATGTCACACTGCAATGTTAATTGTCATTGGGTTCATGAAAATTAGATCATTTTGATGAATTTTAACCTGGTCGTAAATTAAGAAAATAAACTGTTTATGAAAAAATTAATCAAAATTAGAGGACACATTTTAAAATTTTAAGGCAAGAAAAAAATATTTTAAAGCGTTTGCAGGGCAAAAAATCTGATGTGTCCAACACATGACTTTCCTATCTAGTTATTACAGGCGTTTTCCGGTTATTTTGTACAACCTATTGCAGCACCTCTATAAATGTTTAGAGGAGGATAAACTAAATATATACATTTTCCACATACATCTACCTCGAAACATTTTTCTATAGATATTCATTGAAAACGAAAATACTGAAACATTTTAATTTAGTACTTTTCCTACAGTTTTTTCATTACGGTCCATTTTAGAAAAATCATGTATAAACAAAAATTATAGAGATCGATATCGCAAACAACTTTTATTTCAACAATTTTCGTAAAAATCAGAATTTTGCACATTTTGTCAAATTTCTCGAATACGGACCATTTCAGGAAATTTTTACATACAACAAAAATTATAGATAATATTATTAGAAGTAACTTTTATTTGAACAATTTTTTCTCCAAACATAAATAACAGATATATTCCATAAAATATAAAAACGGCCTACCATAAAGTACCCCCCAGATGTTCCGACTTTGTCCAAAATCTAATCATTTCACGTCAGGCCGAAATAAAACTTAAGTTTAAAATTTAATGTTTTTTTCTTTATCCGTTTTTGAGTTTTCTTCAAATTTCGAAATTTACACATTTTCTCAAATATCTCGAATACGGTCCATTTTAGAGAAATTATGTATGGGATAAAAATTATAGAGAATTATATTACAAACAACTTTTGTTTGAACAATTTTTATAAAAAAATATTTTTTTACATTTTGTCAAATTTCTCGAATACGGACCATTTTAGGAAAATTTTGTATAAAACAAAAATTATAGATAATATTATAAGAAGCAACTTTTATTTGAAGAATTTTCTTCCCCACACGTAAATAACAGATATATTCCATAAAATATAAAAATGATCACCTATAAAGTACCCCCCAGATGTTCCGACTCTGCCCAAAATCTAATCAGCTCATTGGACGCTGGAACAAAGCTTAAGTTTAAAATTTGGTGTTTTTCTGTCTATTGGTTCATGAGTTATGCGACACACAGACACACACAAACACAGATATCATCGCAAAAATAGTCAAAACGGATTCAGGGGACCTCAAAACGTAAAAATCCGTCGAAAACTCGAGGTCGAACAAAATCATGATTCCTATACTTTCCTTATATCTGTATACAGATAGGAAAGTAAAAAAGTATTTTGAAATGTGTTTCAGAAGGTCTAAAATGGTGTTAAAAAAAATAACCCGTTCGATTTTTCCTTAAATAAATATAGAGTATCTACATATTACTAGACACAAATTGTGCTACTTAAAAAAAGCTCTTATCTACATTTCAAGGGCTAAAAATCCGACGACGTAGCGAAATTTCACTACTCCTGGCAACAATGAACCATATCCTACCTATAGGTACCTTCTACAAATTTCCGCCAGAGGGCGCTCGCTCATGTAGCTAATAGCCGTGGGCTGCTAAAGCTCATTTTCTGCCCTTGTGACACAATACACTAATTCAAACTATATAAAACTAATTTAATTACTACTAAAATGGTAAGTGTCTCGAAGGAGTTGAGACCAGAGCGCTTGGCTGCCAAGCGAGAGCCAGGGTTGAAATCTGATATTTTATTTTATAAATTAGTAAAAGTCATAAATTATTTTGAAATTAGTTTCTGTCTATATCTAAAATAATTTTTAAAATTTGTAGATTTTCGTTACTGACTCGTAGAAAAAATATACTGTACAACTCAAGTGGATTGTTAATATCCACTCTTGTTGCACAAACTACTATTAATTTACTCTTGTAAAAATATATTAGGATCTAAACAAAAAAAAAATGTAATTTTCCTTTCATTCCTACTTCAAGATACCTAAAATAGGTAATCAATCCTTGGGGGGGAGGGGGGGGGCACAATTTGTCGCTACGCCACTGTACAATTCTTATCGGTTCCTTCCATAGATTTTCTATATTCTTTCTATATATTTTTTCCAATATTTATTTCAGCACATAAATTGTTTTAAATAAAAAATAATATACTTACGGTCTAAAATACCAACGCAATTAATTTAAAATTTAAAATAGGTAATAAACTTGGTTTTGTGTTTACACAAACCAGTATTTTATCATCTGAAAGGTATTAGCATTGTATTAGGTATAAATATATACATATAAAATATACATTTTTGTTTTTCCATAGTCTATCTACAAAATTGTGCCGTATATCTAAATTTTGTTTTTGATTATTAAAATAAACGAAAACTTCAAAACAAATAGGTACATACAAACTAAATTTTATTTATATTTAAGTAAACAATTACGATATCTAAGAAATCCATTTTTTAATCGATGTATTCATTACTTGACATTTCACTGAACTAATTTAAAAAATTAATCAATAAAAAGTTAAAACGTACTTACAATTTTTATCAATCTAAGGACTCAAAACGAACTGGAATCGATCATGTTCACGAAAAGGCACGTGATGTAGGTCGAGACTGAGATTTCGGTAAAAGTAGCGCCTGAATGCCGACAACTTCATATGCAACCGGCCAACCTTGAATTTATTATCAAATAATCCCATTGCTCTTTTAAATGTGATCAGTGAAATGGATTACGAGTTTGTTAGCCTTTGATATCAGTAGACCGTAAAAATGTCTTTTAATAATTTTATTATACAGGATAGCGAAAAAGTCATGCAAAAAGGTATGTTCTTTGAAACGAATAAATGTATATATATATAACTACGCCATTTTAGTGATGATGTAATTATGGTTCCACTGACAAAGTGACAGATTTTTTAAGTGCGTTTTGTTCGTTTTGTTTACCTAAATTACCTACCTATAGTCTGTTCGCTATACTTACGCGGGTTTCGGATTAACAAAATTATGCAAATTAGTTATCGACATCCAGTTCCAAAAAGCCACTTCCCAAGAAATTAGGTAAAATTGCCCTAATGGTCAGATTTAAATTAAAATAACATTAGGGTAGGTACTAAATTTGTTACAAATAATTAATTAATTGATCCGAAACCCGCGTAAGTATAGCGAACAGACTATATATCGTTTTTTCACTTTTATAAATATATTCCTAAAATAAGTAGATAACATGCGACAAATATACAATCGTTCAGTTACTAATTACATACCTTTAAACTATTTTTTATGACATGCAAAAAAAATATTTAGAAAAAACTTAAAAGAGTAAAAACGTATACCTAGGTATGTCAAATTTATTGATGTTTTTGATAATAGTTTGGTTAGAATTAAATGTCAGTGGAACAAAAATGACATCACACTAAATTAGCGTATTATAAAATTGGTGTGTCGCATTTTTTTAGAGGACATGTCAAATTTATGTGACGTTAACTTATAGCGTACCGTCGCCATCTTGAAATTTTTTAATTTGCAACGTAGGTCGAGTGATATCTCAGAGAAAAGCTTATTTTTCTTTTTTCAAGAATACTTAATAAAGTACCACATTACTAATTTAATACAAGAAAAAATTGCTGAAGACATAATACCTACATGTGATTGTTGAACAGTTGAACCTGCATTTCAAGACGTATGCGATCCTTTAAATCTGTTTACATAGACGTGGTTCATTACTAAACTCCACAAAAAAGCAAGTGAAATTATATCTTGTCGACCACTCAATTTCATCACCCTACAATTTCATAATTATACATTTATTCGTTTCAAAGAAAATACTTTGTTTCCAGACTTTTTCGCTACCCTGTATATTTTAAATACTATTTTTTTTTAATTTTAACTCTAAAAAATTGTGTTATTTAGTTTCATTGAAAATGTATAGCATTTTAAATTCTTTATAAAAAAGTAATTTTGATTTATTTACCCTTGGCCCGTTATTCTACAATAAAACTACAATAAATAAAAGGTTAGATTAATATTTGGTTACAGTCTGACGAAGTCGAGATAACGAACTAATTGCCAAATAACAGTGAAGTAGTAAAAGTATTTATCATGTCTCATAAATTCTTTAAATTTAGAATAAAAGGCGGTAGAAATGATTTGAGGACTCGAAGGGGCGTTTTAAAAAAGATATACTTTTATTAAAGAACAAATTTTGTTCGACTTACACAAATGAAGGTTAAATTAAGAATGTCTCTACATATTATGTTAACAAGAAAATTACCAGCATAAGAGGGCAACATCGTTCATACATTTTTCTTAAATTGGCAGGCTTGGCGACTACTAGTTCGAATAGAAATACCTTAGATATACCAGCTCTGCCCTTCGTCAGTTATTGTTTGACAGGTCGTTGAAATGCCTAAATATTAGTTTAGCAGCTTTTGAGTAACATTGTAGCCTCTCAGCACAAATTTTTATTGTATTATGAATCATACTCGAAAAAAAAAAGAGTAAAGAGCTTAGATGTTTGGTACAGTGTCAGCTTCCCCTACATTTTCAATAAATCTGTATTATGAAATCGATATGTATAATACAGAATGTCCCAATGAAAATAAGTAGCCCATTTCCAGAGCTAATAACTTTTAAACAAATCGTAGAAACGTGCGGTTTTTGCTGATATGTGTTATTTTGCTATAAGTTTTGCTTTAGTGACACATACATTATGTATTACCTATTCAGGGTGTTTTTTAAAAATCTCCTCTCTTAAATTCACCGTAACCAAATTTTATCAAATAGAAACGGGCTACTTTTCATTGGGATACCTTGTTTAAAGTGTCTGTTTTATATTGAAGCCTCCTTGATCATGAAATTGGTTCTTATCTACAGAAATAAACCTATGGGTAGATGCACAGTGGTAGTAAATCAGAATAATCATTTAACTATATCAAATTTATCTTAAAATATAAAATTTTATAATTTGTTAATAAACACAATTTCATTATCTTATCAGTTTTAGTATTTAATTTATAATTTGTGGTTGGTCCGAATTATTTTATTTAATTCTGTCAAATTTTCTATGTAATAATTTGGCTTGTACTCTTCAGGATGTTTCCAATTTTTTACAGAGTCTATCTTTGTACTTCCGCTAAGAACGAGTAATTTTTTAAATCCGGATTCGTTTGCAAATCCCATATCTTCATTTATCCTAAAATTTAAAAAAAGTTTATTGTAGTCCCTGTTTAATTTGTTGTGAACTCAATAATCGCTTTCTCTAATAGGTTTGCCTCATTTAGTAAAAAAAATTTAATCAGAGATTCTTCAGTTGTTCTGTCCCATTCTTAAATAGGTAATAATAAAATCTATGCCGAATTATATTATCCTGCTTATTGTACTTTTCAATCGAAATACAATTTCTCTCAATATCAAAATTCCTTCTCTTATCAGATTGCAAAACATTATAATGAAATTCCAAATGAATTTAAAAAAATGTCCTTGTCAACATATAAAAATCGTATAACTAAGCCATTATTTGACGAACAGTCAGTTATTTAACGAACAGTGCGTTATTTGATGATTATATGATTATATGATTATATTTTTTTTCTAATTCTTATTATACTAACTCATAGGTTAGAAATGTGAAACAAAAAAAAATTGTTAGAAAATAAATTTTTAGGGAAAAAATTGTTAGGAAGAAAATTGTTAAGGAAAAAAAATATCAGAAAAAAAAATGTTAAACAAATTATTGAAAAAATGTGTAAAAAAAATGTTTTGTTTTGTATTATATTTTTTTTGTTTCATTCGTGTACGTATACGTATTTTTAATTTTATATTCTTTTTGTTTTACTTTCATTCAGGCTTCTGATCAAAAGTCCTTTTGACGGTTTGTATGTTTTTTTACATTGTATACCTACTTTGTTTGTAAATAGTTAATAAAAGGTTAATAAAATTTATTATTATTATTAATTTTAGATAATATTTTTCTAATTAAACTTCGTTTGAAAACATGACTATCTCAGAAATATTTTACATTCATTTTTGGTACTTAAATACACGTTACTTACATGTCGCCAATAAATAATACTTTAGCTGGATTTTTTATTTGGAACCTTTCTGTAATAAATTTACTATAATGTTTAGAAGGTTTAGCCAGTTGTATGGGAGTTCTTCCGCTCGTTTCGGTTAATCCTTTAAAGTTATAAAAATTACCTGTAAAGTAAATAAGTCTTTAGTATAAATAAGTAAATATAAATTAGTAAAAATATATTGCCCCAAAGTGGACCACGCTCAAATCATCGCCACTAATATTTTGAAAATGAGAACCAGATTAGAAACATTGAAAAAAAAAAAGGAAAATTTTAGTCAAATTACTCGATAAAATCAATTTACAAACAACTACTTATGACTACAATTTGCATAGTACTAAAAGATCCACTAGAGATTCTTAGAAAATTATTTACAAAATAAAAAACATTAAGACGAGCAACTTTTAAAAATATTCAGTATTCACCGCTGAAATATTCACACAGATAAATAAAATACAAAATATACCCTTCCTCCTAATTTTCTTTCCCTGGTTCTTGAGAAGTGGCTTAAAACCTGTATATTTTTTACTAATTGGTGACCCCAGACTTGTCAAAAATACCCCAGACCAATAGGGAAGAGCGAAGTCATTGAGATTTGAGCCAGAATTTAACATGGGAAGTTAGGGAATGACGGGCCTTTTAAATATTGCAATTTTATGTAATTAAAAGCTGAAATTACTCGTAGATCGTTATTTTATTAAAAACAAATAAAGTAGTACTTAAGCCGAATGGTAAACAAAATAATTAAACTGTTTAAAGTTTTTTCATTCACTCGATTCGTAAATATGTTTTACTTTTTGTATGAACTGAAAAAATTAACCATCTTTAATATCCAAAGTACATATGTATTAGGTATGCAATTCTATTGTCTGTTTGCTATAAAAATTATATTGACATATTCAATATTTAAACTAACACATTTTATGCTGATTTCGTAGGTATTATGTTCATAATTCTTAGATGTTCATAAATCTTAGAGATTATATTATTATTCAACTGTTAAAATTAGAATTAAAAAAAAAAATTGCTAATAATATATGTTACCAATTCGATATCTTAATGATCCCCTTTCAATTACTTCCGGGATAACCTGACCTGATTTTTTAGAGTTTTTTTTTGAGAACGCTGCGCAAACGCTAATGTGAAATAAAAAAATTCTTGCCCAGTCTTTATCTAGAGCAGCGTTTCTCAAACTTTTTTGGTGACGGAACCTTTTAGAAAAGCGAAATGTTTGACTGAGCCCTAAACGCATTTCTAAAAAAAAAAGGTTCTCAAGCAAAATCATATATTTTCTTAGTGAATTCTAAAAAATAAAAAAGTCCACCCTTTTGTGGCGAATTTCCTCATAGTACTGCTTCACTTTTTTTTATTCTATTATTTTCTTCGCGGAGCCCCCTCAAAGGCTTTGCGGAGCCCCAGGGCTCCTCGGAGCACACCTTGAGAAACACTGATCTAGAGGATATTTTTAACAAAAAATCCTGCGAGAATACTACCGTAGTGTTTATAGTTCACTCTAAAGCGTCCTAGAGGCGTGTCTTACCGTTGAAGGCCATGTCCCCCATGGTTTGCACTGCTTTCATTTTGTGAGCGCTATGGGCCGAACAAATGGTCGTATTGAAGTTTTCCACTGCGTTATACCTGAATAGGCATACGCAGGTCCCACTCGACCATTCACTGTTGAGTTCTAATTAACAGTGATGTTCCTAAAGTTGCGCTGGGAAATAGTAACAAAGCCTGCATATAACACGATACTAATAACCTTAGTAGTTAATATCGCTCACACCAAATTAAAGAAAAAAGGAAGAAACTTTTTTTTTCTCCTGGGCTCGTCTGACTATGTGTCTCCGAATAACACTGAAACCTATTGGCTTATTGTGTTTTACCCCATGTTAGTTCATAGCACCCACTCTATCACCTTTGTACCTTGTACAAGTTTGTACAGATCCTTGGGTGAGTGGGTTCTATACGTTGTTGGATCAACCTGGGGTTGTCCAAAAAGAGCCTGTCTTTTGCGATCTATAGCTTCGCATTCGCACAGTATGTGTTTGGCCGTTTCTGGTTTCTTGTGACATAGTCGGCACATGAGTTCCCCATTGTACATGCCAATTTTGTTCAAGTGTCCCTTTATACTGGGGCGTGCCCAGTCATGAACCCTGTTATCACTTTCAACTGGTCCCTATTCATTAAGAGTAGTTCTCCAGTTCTTTAAAGAGAAAGAAACTTTAGAAGAGCTCTGTATTCGATATTTATTTTTTTTCCTTACCTAAGAGGGGTCCCGTTGGGCCTACAGGTAAAAATTTATCTGCTCCACCAGTCACAAATAAACAGTCTTGCCTTTTTAGGTACGTGAGTGCTTTTTGGAGTTTAATAAAAGTTAGATTTATATCAAAATCATATAGAACGGCACCCACTTCCTCATCGTCCTGAATATTTTGAAAAAGTGATGTAAGGTTTTCCTCAATAAGTTGTGGCTAAAAAGAATATGATACAAAGATATCTAAAATAGAAATACAGAATAGATACATCTAAAGCACCTTCCGATTGCAGAATCTTTTCTAATACACTTGTTCTTATTTTAACATTGGGAACTGTTTTTTTTTAATTCATTCATTGATAAGAATATACCTATCTGATATTAAATTATTTTTTCTTGATAAAGTTTCTCAATTGAAAACAGTCTATACTTCCCCAAATAGTATTAAAATACCCAAGCATAGATTCTATTATCATAATTAAGTTTTTGCTAGATAAAATGTCTGATAATATAAAATTGACTGATCAGTTAAGCTAAGGGAAAAAAATATATATTTTGTTTTTCCATATTTAAACTGAGTAAGTTGCGATTTAACGAAATTTTTATATTTTTTGAACACGTTTCTGTAGTAGATTAGACGTTATTCTAAGATTTTACGGTAAACATAAGAGATGTATCTTCAGCTTTCCTTTGAAGATTTTTATGTAAAAATATTATTTACATATAGAAATAAAACCCGACCTAATACGGGTACACCTTAACCACTGATTTGTATTCTTTGTTTTCTGTTTGATAAGAGGTCTATTACTATTCATTGAATACCGTAATTACTAATTTTATCTATAGGTTTACTATATGAAACAGAGTCCAGAAAAATTACGAGACATTTACTTGAGTTGTCTAAGGCTCCAATAACGGATTCTAGCAGGTTCAATATGACATCTTTGGTACTCGAGTTTTTAATAAACCCAAACTGATTTTTTGAAAGAATATGATGCGGTCTTCTAAAAATGAGACTAACTTTTGCTAAATCATTTATAACCGATATAGGTTGCTAGTAAGTTTATTATACTCTTCTGCCTTATAAATCCGTGTAGACATTGCAATAGTATTTTACCTCTTGTGAAACAGGTTTAAAACTTGAACCAAGGTTTTAATTTGAAAATTTTACTCACCGGATCTTCTGCAAGTTTGAATCCCTCACTCTTTAATTTCTCTTTATAAGATTGTGATGCTATGGCGTATATTTTTTTCTGGAAATTAATTTTCTTTAAATAATCAACAACTGCCAAATATGGATTCACGATATCTTCTAATTCGACATTGAATTTATCGTTTATTAACCGTTCGTGTGTTATTTCTGCAGGAGTGAATGCCATATTTGTTACGAATTGCACTGGCTTTCCCAATTTTTTAAAGTTTTCTATGCAAACTGCGGCATCTGGTATGGGGACATAAGCCACTCTTACTACTCCTGAAATAAAATTACATTTATTTTTTTAAATATTTTTTAATATGGAGCAGAAAAATGAAATGTCCTAGAAAAATGTAAAATAAAACCTAAGATAAAATAAATATTAAATAAAGAAAATCTCATTTGTTTTAGTTACGTTAATTTTATTTTTGTGTTTGGAACTTTGATTGGAGTGTTTATTATATTTCCGGTGCAGTTTTTTGTGTACTAAATTTGGGTGGTAAGTACCTATTTAGCTTTTTTGTAAGTACCTGTCAAGCACTTTTCTTTTATTAAAATATAATTTAATTATTAACCTAAAACTATATAGATTGTGGATTAATATATCAAAAAAAAAACCGTTGAAATCAGGCGTCAGGTGATTTCAAATATACAATATCGGCTATCGAACACTTTCCAATATGCCTTGTGAAATTAGAGCAAGAAGAAAACGAGTAACATCAACTATGCCAGTTTATACGGCCTTGTCAACGTTACAACTTGGTCGAGCCGTATAAACTGGAAACGCTGATATTATTCGTTTCCTGCTTGCTCTAATGCTAACTCGCTGTAGTTTTCACATGCACTTATGCAACGCGTATTGGAAAACGTTCAGTGGCAGACACTATACCGGGTGTCCCAGATTTTTTTGCCCAGCGGATATCTCGGTTATTTAATGATATAAAATTGTAAAAAAAAATATGAATAATATTTGTCTAGTAGCCTTTTAAATTCCACTACATAAAGTTATATTCATCAATCCACCCCATAGGAACAACCCCTAACTTTTTTTTTTCAAATGTCACCCCTATATTTTTTTTCGCTGATATAAATACTCAATTTGTCCCGAATGCAACGATATGATATTTGATATACTTTACAGAGTCATAAAGCCGGTAAAGACTAAAAATCAATGTTGTGGTTAAAGTCATTAATTTTGTATCACCTGGTATTTTCTTTTTATTTTGATTAGAATTGCTTCGTTTTTGTTTTTTTTTTGTTACCTATAACTAACTAACTAACGATATGCTTAGACCATTTCTGAAATTGTTCGCTAGCTATAAACAACAGACAAAATGCCCTTTACATTCACTCCAAACGAATATGTTGATATGCTTTTAATTTTTGGTGAGTGCCAAAAAAATTCTCGTGCTGCTGTACACTTGTATCAACAGAGGTTTCCTGAGCGCCGACAACCATCACGTAAAACATATTCTTATGTTGAGACTAGGATGAGAGAAGGGTCATTTCCAGGAAAAGACAAACATCGTCAACATGCTGCTGCTGTAAGAACTGAAGAAATGTGCATTAATGTATTAGCTTATGTGCAAGTACATCCCCAGATATCGACGCGAAACCTAGCTAACGAGGTTCATATTAGTAAGTCGTCAGTACAAAGAATCCTAAAATCCTATAATTTTCATCCGTTTAAAATTCATTTGCATCAGGAACTTAGAGCTGGAGATTTCGAAAGAAGGATAACATTAATAGCACATTTTGAAGATTTAATGGAACGAAATCCCAACATTTTGAACCAGATATTGTGGAGTGACGAATCAAGGTTTCACAATAATGCTACTGTAAATCGTCACAATATGCATTATTGGTCTCCTGAAAACCCTCACTGGGTTAGGGAAACTAACTTTCAGACCATCTGGGGAGTAAATGTGTGGTGTGGATTATTTCAGGGACGACTGATAGGTCCCTATTTTTTTCAAGGTACGTTAACTGGTGCTAGGTACTTACACTTTCTTGAAAATGACCTTCCAGAACTTCTTGAAGAAATTCCAATACAAGAAAGAGGTGCTATGTGGTGGCAACAAGATGGAGCTCCTCCACATAATAGTAATTTAGTTACCCAATTTTTAAACGAACGCTTTGAAAATCAGTGGATCGGAAACAGCGGCCCTTTGAGGTGGCCTGCGCGTTCACCAGATTTATCGCCTCTAGATTTTTTTTTATGGGGATATCTGAAGACCGTGGTATTTGAAACACAGCCATTGAATTTAGAAGATTTGCAAAATAAAATAGTACAAGCCTGCAATAATATTACACCAGAAATGATTACAGCGTCATGTACTCGTGAACTCATTCGACGTTTTGAAGCATGTTTGGCAAGTAATGGGGGCCATTTCGAACAATTTTTGTAAATATTCAATTATTTAAAAAACATATTAAGAGGTTTACCTATTCATTGGATTTGTTATTTTTTAATATAATAAAATGATAAAATGTAAACTAATTATTAATGACTTTAACCACAACATTGGTTTTTAGTCTTTACCGGCTTTATGACTCTGTAAAGTATATCAAAAATCATATCGTTGTATTCGGGACAAATTGAGTATTTATATCAGCGAAAAAAAATATAGGGGTGACATTTGAAAAAAAAAAGTTAGGGGTTGTTCCTATGGGGTGGATTGATGAATATAACTTTATGTAGTGGAATTTAAAAGGCTACTAGACAAATATTATTCATATTTTTTTTTACAATTTTATATCATTAAATAACCGAGATATCCGCTGGGCAAAAAAATCTGGGACACCCGGTATAGCGAATCCTCGTGAAAACTTCGGATGGCTATATTTCTGGTAAAATTTGTTGGAATTTTGAATTTTTGCGTTGTGAGACAGTGCATCGAGGTAAAAAATTTCACATTTTTCATACATAGGTAGGGTTCCACCTGCCTTTTTTCAAAAAAATTGTCCTTGTGACTTTTTAAAGCTTAAAATATCCTTTTAGAAGCTCGTCGTCAGAAAAAGGAACTAGTTTATAAAAATATAAGCTGATGAGGACTTTTTATTTTTTTTAGAAGTTCGCCTGAGAGGCATGTTTTCTTTTAGAAATTTATTTACCTTTATTCACTTTTCAAAAAGGTGGCAACTCTATACATGGGTGCCTCGATTTTTCATAGTGAATAAAATATTTTATGAAAATTTTAAATTAAAATATATTAAAAAGTAATGTTTGTAACTTGTAATTTTTTTTATTATGATGTAGTCAAAAAAGTGTACTCTCTGATAAGTCTTTTCACCATGTAAAATACACTGAAATGGCAGCCTTAAGAAGGTCAGTTATTATCAATATAAAAAAAGATTAAAGTCGCGAAATATTTGTCAAAAGGATTTAATTTTATAATATAATTTTATAAAAATAATCATCTGATGTGAGATCGTCAGGTAGTTAATAATTAAATTATGATAGGCTTGCTTTTAGAGATTACAGTTATCTCTGCTCGATATCTATAGCCAGATGATTGTTATTTTCATTATTCTAATAATAAGTTTCATGATTAATGAAATAAATTTGTTTCCTGACTTTTAATTACATGTGCATAATGCAGCTGATTGTTATTTTTGAATCAGTCTTACAAATTCATTTTCAATTTTTTTTTCATTTTCCGAATGTTCCCACAATCAGTTTCACTATTACTTGCGCAGCTGACGCTTAAATATTGAAATGAATAATAGAATAGAACATTTAAATTATTAATCAGATTTGGTGAAATGATTTTTCTCATTTCCAACGCTGCTTGAAAATTGTTTCACTGTTTACAATTAACGAATTTAACTATACCCAGGTCCTTCAACATCCAGAAAACCTATAATCATCTCCCGGAAATTTTCACGCGTATCAACGAATCACATCTTCTTTCACTATGTAATATATAAATAAGAAATCTATATTATTATTTGTAATAACTTACCATCAAGGTCAAGTAATAATCTATCAAAACTATTAACAAATTCTACTTGCTCTTCTTTACATACTTCAGAAAGATTTTTAATAACCATTGTGCTATCGTTAAATTTTTTCAAGCCCAAGCTAAACTCGGAACTAAAAACGATTTGCAGCGTTATCTACTTATAAGTTCGTCGGGTTAGAATTTTGTAAAATATTGTAAAGAATGCCTACCTAATATAAATAATACTGTTTCAAACAGGATCGGTCTCTGGAACAAAACTAATCTCAAATATATTTTATTTGAATTACATAATATTCTTAGATAAGATTAAACTAGGTATATTTATACTTATTGTTTTTACTTAACATACCATTGTTTTTAAACGTACAATAATTAATCATAAACAGATTTGCCATATAAAATATAACCATTTTTCGTATCAATGTGCTAGAACAATTTGAAAAACGTCATTTTGAGAATATTGACTTTTACTCAGTGGCGGGGATTTAGATTCATTTTAGGGAGGGGGTGACGGTGCGCTGCAACGATTTTTTTGCGAGATAAAAAGTCTGGCACAGAGAGATGTATAATAATTATAAAAATGTGGGGTGATGAATGGGACTGTATTCTGCATTTTTTAGAGGACATCAAATAAAAACTCATGCACAGAATCCCTAACTATAAAAGAAGGAATACAATCAGAAAATAATAATGAAACTTAGGGTAGAGAAATCTTGATATTTTTTGCAAACCTTCGAAAAGCATTCATTTTGATTATAAAAAAAACATTTACGCGCCATTTTGTACTGTCAGTCATTTTCACCTCTGCGAGTAAAGTTGAAAGTAACTACTTTCTGATTAGGTTATAGTTCATTTATCTACCAAGTAACTCTACGTGTAACTTTACTCAGAGGTGAAAAGATTGGCCCTAAATCCATCAAAATTTGTTGCTTTTTGTTTTAATAAATATATCTAGTAGTTTTTATTATTTACTTAAATGTCTCTGTAGAATGCTACCTCCCATACAGCACACCTTATTTCAGAAATGTTTCAGAAATATTTAAAACATATATAACATTTCGAGTACAAGTTTCGGAAATATTTTAGTTAGATATTTCACTGAAAATGTTTCTGAAACATGTTATAAATCTTACACAGAAGGTTACAAAACAGATTATGTTGTAAAAGAACAAGCCAAAAAAAATTCTCATTCATAAGAAGAGGAAGAAGAAGATGGGTTATGTACTATGTAGTCATTTCATTTTATAATAATATAATTTTAGTTTATCCTATATCCAGAGACAACCCAATATTCTAAATCAGTGGTTCTCAAACTTTTTTGGTGACGGAACCTTTTTCAAAAGTGAAATATTTGACGAAGCCCTAAACACATTTCCGAAAAAAAGTCCTCCTTGCTCTAGCCTCTTGCCAGGTCCCTCCCATTTCTTTCCGGAGCCCCTACAACAAAATTCTCAAAATCATATACGCCTTCCTCCAACCCAAAATACCAAACTCATATAAATAGTCCTTAAAAAAAACAAAAAAATTAAAAGGTCCACAAGCCAAGTCCCGTTGTAGCGATAGGTACTGCTTTTTACTTTCCTATCTGTATACAGATATAAGGAAAGTATAGGAATTGAATGGGGATGATGCTGCTGGCTACATCCTCATCACGAGTGCCAGTTCTTAAACTGGCCACAGCTCGGTTTTGGTTTAACTCTAGCTGCGTCAATAAAATAAAACTGCGAACTTTTGTATTCGTATATTACCATGAACAGGAACGGGAACACATTAACAACTATTCTTTGTATTATTTAATACAGGGTTTTGAATATAAAATATTGAGATTAAAAGAATGACTTTTTTTCGTAGACTTCTGCCCAAACAACAACTTGCCTAGCGACCGTATTCCTACGTCCCAAAAATGATTGTGAGGCGCGAATGTTGCGAAACGGGATACCCGGGTTGCTCATTAGAAATGTGTCGTCATACATCCATTGTCAAAATTCCTACATACTCCCCTCCCCCCCCCCCCCCCCGTTAAACGCCTTGCGTTTAAAATATAATAAAATATGAAAAGATTAAAAGTAATAAGTGAAACAATAAGGTTAAATCTAGTTTAAAGATCGAAAAACGCTATGAAGTTACTGCCCACAAATATTTTAATTATCATGTGGTAAGGGACAAAGCTTTGTGATAGGACGTATAAACAGTCCTTCACGGGTGCGTATTTTTACAACTCTGACTTTATTGTCAGGTCCGGGGAAAATTTCCACTACTCTGGCTCTTGCCAGTTTAAGAGGGGGACATTGTCTTCATTTAGAAGGACTAAGTCATTAATCTTAATATTTCGAGACGAGTGTAACCATTTGGGTCTATTTTGTAGATTGTTTAAGTATTCAATTCACCATCGTTTCCAAAATGATTGTTGAATACGGGCACATTTTTGAAATAAGTTTAATCTATTTTCTGGTACAACTGATAAGTTTTTTTCAGGATATACTGTAAGACTAGTGCCGATAAGGAAATGTCCTGGAGTTAGACATTCTAAATCGGTAGGATCATTGGACATAGTACATAAAGGACGAGAGTTTAAAATCGACTCAATTTGAGCAAGTACTGTACTGAGTTCCTCAAAGGTGAGATATGCGCTACCAATGTTTCTTTTTAAAATGTTTTTGGTGCTTTTAATCGCAGCTTCCTAAATTCCTCCCTAGTCGGGACTAAGAGGAGGAATAAATTTCCAATTAATCTGATTTTCTGCCGCTAATGTTTTAATAGAGTCTGTAACATCAGAATTTTTAAAATATTCGTACAATCGTCGGAGTTCATTTCTAGAACCACAGAAATTGGTAGCATTATCGCTGTATATCACAGATAGATTTCCTCTGCGGGAGATGAATCGTTTAAGGGTCATTAAAAATGCTTCAGTAGAAAGAGTTGAAACAAGTTCTAAGTGTATAGCCATTGTATAATTTATACAATGGTATAGCCTTAGTGACCATGCACACAAAGAGGGCAATATAACATTTTTGGATTGGAGCTTTTCTTAATTTAGAGGTTTTGATAAGAAGGGGACCTCCGAAATCTATTCCCACCTTTTAAAAGGGTCTAGTGATAGTGATTCTGTCTTTGGGAAGATCTTCCATAATTTGTTGAACGGGTTTAAGATGAAATCGGAAACAATTGTTACAATTTCTAATAATGCGTTTTATTTCCAGTAAAGCATTTAGGGGCCAATATTGCAATCTAATATTTGAAAGTACAGTTTGAGCACCAGCGTGAGCAAGTCGATTGTGTTCATGGGCCAAGAGTAAAGATACTACATGATTTTTAGAGGGAAGTAGAATGGGGTATTTTTGATCTTCAGAAATATCAGCATTAGTTAGGCGACCACCTACACATAAAAAATCATCTTTATTTAGAAATGGTTTGAGGGACATGAGGTTTTTGTTTGACAAACATTTTTCATTCTTAAGTTCGAATATCTCCTTTGAAAAATGTATAAGTTGCAAATTTTTTATGATTAGATTGATTGCTGATTTAATTTCGTCAACACATAAAGGGCCTAATTTCTTGGTTTTTGAATGTTTACAATTGTACAAAAATCTATTGCAATATGCAACTGAGTGAATTAATTTCGAAATTTCGAAAATTTTGAAAATAAATCGTCCCAAAAAGAAGTCATGGAGTTCGGAATGGTTTTTAAAAGAGTAAGAGTTACCTTTTTTTTTTCAGGTAAATCGATTAGATCCAATTTTTCATCAACATTTATGGAATTAAAAGAAGGGTCCTGCAACCATTTAGGACCGTGCCACCACAGTTGAGAATTTAAAATATCTTTTGCTAATAATCCTCTACTTAAAGGGTCTGCAGCATTATCTGCTGAGCTAACGTGATGCCACTGCCAATTTGCGGACAATTCTTGTATCTGAGATACTCGATTAGCTACAAAAACTGACCAACGAGATGGGTGCGACTTAAGCCAACATAGACCTATCTGTGTGTCTGTCCATAAATGTATAGATTCAAAACATAGTTTAAAAAAAATAGAAACAATTTTCTTAGTCAATTTCGTAAGTAAAAGCATAGCTTGGAGTTCGAGTCTCGGAATAGTGAAAGTAGGTCGGATGGGACAAATACGAGACTTAGATGATACTAGGTTACAAGTGACTGTATTATCGGAATAAAGGGTACGAAAATAAATGCAGGCAGCATAAGCTTTTATGCTACTGTCAGCAAAACCATGTATTTCAATTTTCAAAATCTCTTTTTTAACGAAGAGATGACGAGGAATAGTCAATTGTTTAAGAGTAGGAATATTTGATATAAAGGTTTTTTCATTCATCAACAAGTGTTTGTGACAGTGGTTCATCCCAACTAAGTTTTTCTTTCCATAAGTTTTGCATGAAAATTTTACCTAAAAGAATTACAGGACCTATGAGACCTAGAGGGTCAAACATCTGGGCTATAATAGAAAGAGATTTTCTTTTTGTGATAGGTTCACAATTTAAAGAATCTGGAAGTGAGATTGAAAATATGTCCTTAGCAGGTTGCCA